CTTATATTTCTGTTTGTATTGTCAATATTTTTCAAACTCGACTTTAATACACGAATCGACATATTAACTTGACAAATGTAAATTATTCAAACAAGACTTCATTTTATGAAATATTTTAATATTTGTTATGAATATATAAATTTTATAGTACATAAAGTGTATTTATACACAGAATAACAATTTCGACAAATACCAAATATTAAATAAATATTAGGTATACATTGAAATATTTTGTCCAAATAAATAAAATTACTACAATAAAAGCATTTTTTTATTACGATATTGTTTAAAGTAGTAGGAAAATATTATTAGACTCCATTGATTAAACAAATTCGTACTTACTTAAAGATACATTCCATTAACTAAATAATCTGCATCATGAGCATATGGCCCATGACGTCTTCCACGTCTTCGAACTACTCTCAAACGGCAAGCTATTAATGTTGCTGTAATAGCTGTTATCGTAAGTCCTAATGCCAAAGATATGACTGCTCCTCTAGGTCTTAAAACTTCATTTTCATTCACTTGCTTCAAATGATCTGCCATTAAAGCATTTCTTCCATGTTCTCTGATATGATCCTTAATAACTATTACACTTTTATGTTCTGCATAAAAAAAGCATTTATATAAAATAATTGTTATAAAAAATTATGAAACTTTATCGATATTAGTAATATACCTTTGAACTCTTTAGCTTGAATGTGACTAAGCTTTGTAATTTCATTTTTTAATGTACTTTGTTTAATATTATTTTGATTAACTTCTTTTTCATGAACACCGTGCTTTTCTTCTTGTCGATTAACTTTCTCAATCTCTTTGCCCTTCATTGATACATCCGTTTGTTCATGCGATACCTAAACGAATACTGTATAGCTAACACAATAAAATTGTTGTAGGTATACATGAAAAATAAACTTACGTCACAAGGAGGAGTTGTAGTAATAACAACATTTTTTTCGACTTCGTTAATTTGTTTTTGTTGCATATTTGGTATTGGAGATGGAGATGGGAAAACTTGAGTGTTTTGCCATGGACCTCTATTTGGCAATACGAAGTGTGGCGCATACGGATGCCTTAAATCTAAATATGTACCGCTAACAGAAAATGTTTAATTATTTTAAGAGTTCTTCATACTTTGATCACAATTTAATTGTACATCTTTAATCGAGATATCTTACGTGTCTGATTCTTTTTCTCCTATAACGCTAGATCCTTTATGATTAAAAATGTGCGACTGATCCTCTGAAAATCAAAAATGCAATATACTTATTATTTATAATATATTTATTTGTAATCATAGTTATAGACTGCTTACGTTCGTTAGGATTTAAATTATTTTGTTCGTGAAAAGTGTTAACAGGGTTGTACATGTCTTTGTTTTGTTCATACATGGGTTGATAATCCCATTGATATCCAGGAGCACCAAAACCTTTATGTAGCTGAGGTAGTTCCATCTGTTGTGCTGGATATAAAAGAGGTTGTTGCTGTGGTATTATTTGATGAGCTAAATTAGGTAGCTCCCATGGCTTAGGATTAACTTCCGGGATACGAGCATACAATGGAGCAAGGGATTTATGTTGATCAACCATCTGTTGATATTTTATAATATCAACAGGTAGAAGTGGTGGAGGTGGCTGAGGTCCTTGTATCATAGAAGGAGAAATTGTTGGTTTCTCTGTAGGGCATACAAGGTCTGCTGCTTCATCAGATCCATCTGCACATTGTGGGATACCATCACAAACATTATATACTGCTATGCAATCTCCAGATGTGCGGCATTGATACTGATTGCGGCTACAAGCTATGAAATAATATGTTATTTTTTTACTCTATGTTATTATATGATTAGTAATTACCTTGCTTAGCAGGTGGTGGTGTTGTTAACAATAGTTTTGGTGTTAAAGTTTCAATTAATTTTATAGAAGGTTCTGTGAAAGAATATTCTGCCTGCACTGGGTCTGCCAATTTCCTAGATGCAAAAGGTTTAATCATTTGATTATGTTTAAAACATTATTACAAAGAATGCTTACCTAAGAGACTTTAATTCATGTTCTTGTTGAGAAATTCGAATTTCTTCTTCTAGTTGGGTGTTGCCTTGTGTATTGTAATTGGTACGCAATGCACTACTGTAATTAGCATGTCTAGTGAATTTACATTTAAAGTCATGTAGTGGCCCACATTGAAACAAGTAGCAATTTCCATGTTTCTGTACAACATAAAATTAATTGATGATTGGGGAATGTAGATAATAAAGGAATTAAACTTGGGTACAGTGATTTTTATTTAATATTTATTTATTCAGTATAAAAAAAAAAGGAAATACAATACATAATAAGAAATGTATTATAAAAGTATTATTGCATTTACTTAATTCAATTTTTGTGGATACTAAATACATCGTATAAGATGCATACTAAATAGCACTTTTGAATGGTTTTATGGTAAATGTATGGTAATGTATTACTGTTTTAGGATATTAAAATGCATGTACCTTTTCCTCAAAGATAAACACATCGCAGCCAACCGTATCACAGCAAAATTTTAAACAGTCATCCTTAGAATCGACCGCGTTCTCGTTTAAATACTTGGCACCCATGTCGAGGGATTCGTGCGTCCTAATAATTTTATCCTTGTGAATATCAAAGCTGTCGAGGCACATCTGGTAATTGTTTCTAACGCCGATGCGTATTTCATTTTTCCTCGTTAACGTTTCACCGGTCACACAGTAAAAGATCGTAAAAAAATTGAAAAAGATTCGCAAGGCTCTGTAAAACATCATGCTCTACGATTTACAAGTAAGAAAGTCGCGCATGCCTTCCTGGATTCCGAGTTTAATCAATAACCACCTACAACACGCATTATCTTATTAAAGTAGCGAATGACTCAAAATAATTCGAACGGTACACTTATTAAAAACCACTATTTGTATTTATAGTATAAATAAGATATTTTGGGATAGGGTAAAAAATAATATTGTATATATATGTATATACTTTGTAAAATATATTTTAAATTTTTCAAACAACAGTAACAATATTACTTATTGGATAATATGCAGATTGTGCTAGTTAATTAACCATACATTTCACGCCAGACATAAGTAAATTACATGAATAAATTTAGTAGATAAGTGACAATTGTTTCTAAGGTGATGAGATTTTGAAGTTTGCCGATTTGAAACATGTATACTCAATGTCCCTGAGGAGGCAGCTTGTTCCCCAACTTTGTATATGTATACAGTGCCTCGAAAGATGTTTCTTTTTTGTTTTGATAGATAGAATATTTTGGGATTAATTGTTGTGGGTGATTTATGTTTTATACATATATCGTACAAGTACATTACTGCATAGGGGTGCATTCAGAAAAGCCACCTCTCAGTAAGCGGCTCTATTTGATACTACTACGATGTATTAGTTATATTTATCATTTTTATGAATGGTTTAACGCAACAACAATTATCTAAACAGATATTAAAGGGAATACATTCTATCAATTACAAAACAATTTCATCTTCCAAGTATGTTCGCTCGATAATCGAGTTCAAAAGAGGAAATGGGACAAATATGTCAGCAAACTTCAGATTTATTCGAAGCCTAGGGTTTTGCCTATCACTGTCTAAGGGTGATCAGGCCGAACGAATTTTTCGAAGGTATGCATGTATGACACTTATGACTTTCCTAATACCTCATTTTCCTTATAATTAACTAAAAGTAAAATTAAATAATAAGTGTATGAAATAATTATACTTCGAGCCTCATTCTTCGAAGATCAATTGTGTGAAATACCCTAGGAACGAGTACTACTACATTTGATCTTCTCGAACGAGGCTCTTCATATAATTACGATCGAACTTCACAGGTAAGTTTGTTTGATCGTATAATAAAATGCTTAGCGCATGTGTAATTATATCAAAATTTTCAATTTTAATAAAACTGGTTTTAGTACTAATGGCTGGGTCTGCTTGCACCTAAAATAAATAAAGTAGAAAAAAATAAAGTACTAATAGCGCCATCGGTGGTAAAATGCCCAAGTTTGTACTGAAAAGTTGTAGTTCTTCTTTTAAATGCTAGATGGCGTCACTAACCAAAGGGTGATATTTATTGCTACAGATAAATGGTTAAATAATGTATTAAAGTAGTGTATTGTAGCGTTATAAAACAAAGAATTGTATTGATTATCCATTTATGTGCAATAAAAAATAATTAATAAAAACGACGTATGTGGCACCATCTAGCGGCGACAGTGGGAACTATTTTCACTACAAGCTTGAACGTTTCGTCATAGATGGCGTTACTGGTACTAAAATTAGTATTAATAAAATATTCTTAAAATTGATCAATTTGACATATTAACTAATATATTGTAATACATTTTACTAACATTTTATACTTATTTATCAACATCCCTTTTATTTATTAACATCGTTTTTGTTCATAATAGCCTCTCAGATATTGTACTTGTAACCTGATAAAATCAGGTTCTCGTTCGGACCACTTCGTCAGATGTGTAAATGCTTTCTCCAGATCTTCTTCGTAAGGTATCGAATCCGATCTCGAAGACGACGATTCCTCTTCAAAAAAATTGTTCTCCTTTTCCGTGCACCTCGACAAAAATTCATTGACGCTTTCTTCGTATACTTGGTCCCCAGTGATCACACCAATGATCTCATGTAAGTTAGGCTCCAACGGATCCCCTGGTTCCTTTTTTGTCGTGTTTTCTTCGGAGATTTGGTTGATAACCTTCTTCCACGCATTTCGAATATTCGTGGCGCTAATTCCCGCCCATACATCGTGCAACAGATCAATGCAATCTTTAAGATCGTAGTCGAAATAAAATTCACGCGCCCCGCCAGGAAAACTTAACACCCGGTCCAGCATTTTATGGCGAAAGGACATCTTGGTTTTTTCGATTAGTCCCTGGTTCATAGGTTGGAGGGAGGTAACATTGGGGGGTAAGCGTACGATTTGAAATTGATCATCCTGCTGGAATTCTTCAGTCAATTAGAGATTGTGTCGATAGTTATCCAGGAGGAGGATAACTTTATCACAGGTACCTAATTGATGTGTTTTCACAGCTGGTATGAAATGATTCTTATACCAATTCGTAAATATTTCTTGATCTATCCAAGCTCGCGAGTGTGCTTTGAAAATGACTGGCAAATTATCTTTAACATGTTTCAGTTCTTTTGGATTTTTTATTTTATGAATAAATAAAGGAGCAAGCTTGTGGCCTCCTGTAGCATTGACGCATAAGTCCACGGTTACTCGATCTTTTTCCAATTGTATTCTCTCGATGTTTTGCTCATCGCTCAAGATCTTCGTGGGAATAGCCTTCCATAAAAGAGTAGTTACATCCATGGTATAAATATTCTTGTACTCGAGTCCTTCTTGCTCCACTCGTTGCGCAAAGTCATCTAAAAATTCTTAGGCGTTTACGACCTCCCCATATTCCTTTTTGTTGATATTTAACAAACGAATAAATCGTCAATCCATGACGATTCTTAAACTTCCACAGCCAGCCTTTACTAGCTTTGAAGATGGGCTTCGCTGGTCTCCCGCCCACTCTGTTGAATTCGATTGCTTTTTCTAGCAATAACGAATTCGTGACGGGTTTCCCGAGCGCCTTTCTTTCTAAATACCACGTGTACATCCGATTGTCCAGTTCCACGTTCGCTGGTTTCCGTATATTCTTCCGTTTCCTCATTTCGACCCCTTGCTTCGCGAATGTGTACAAGGCCGCTGCATTTTGTCGTATACGACGAATAGTGGTGGGGTGAACATCGTACTTAGTTGCTAATCTCCTGGCAGACGCGCCACTTTTTAGTTGTTGCACAATTTCAAATCTCTGTTGTATCGAAAGCACGGATTTGTTATTTCTTCGAGTCGCCATCTTCCTGGCGAACACTCTGTGAATGCTGAACAAATAACAGCTTATATGCAAAGATTTGTTGATGATTATTTGGTTTCCTTTCATGCAGGTCTTATTATACAATGGTACCCCGAAAGATGTCGCCCGGGAGACTCCCAACTTGCTCGTCACTATTCCCACCAAGCCTAGCGATTCGCAACAAGCGCACGCACGCGCTAAATGAGTTATCTGCTATAGTTGGGTTCAAAAATATTGGTCGTTGAAGGACAAATCTACTCTAAATCTATTGTATTTATGTTTCACTTGTTGGATGGTCATCTCAAGGAAATGGGGCGAAGGTCGGCCAGCTCGAGCTGAGGAAACAGATCTGGTGATCTTTGTGAATATTGTTATCGCATTACTACGATTTGTCTTATAAAAAAGATTCCAGCAACTGGTGGGGGTAACTCAGATGCAACTAACGAGTGTACTCGGCACGCAACTATAGAATTCGCTAGTAACAAGCTATGCCAAGATGTTCAGAACCTGTGAATGCAAAGGTCATTTGCAGCTCATGGTAAAAAGATTGATTCCTTGAATGCTAACGTACTTGCTGAGTATCGTTACTATTTTAACAAAGAAGCGACGATTTCCTTTTGTTTGGCGACTTTCTTGACGAACCTTGAAATACGTTCATCATATTTTTCATTGTATTACTATCTTGAATATTGAACACAATAAGTGTTGCTTGCACAATAGTTGGAAATAGGAATGTACAAATAAATTGAAAGACACGTTAATTTTCACTATTTATTATTTTTTTTTTAATGTATCAACTAGAGTTTTGTATACACTTTTGTAGCCTAAGTACAATAACAGAAAATATTCTATTGATTCATACAATCCTTATGTCTACCAATAAAATTTCTTATTCTTATTTATGGAATGGTTCTGTGTTTAGATATGTAACATTTACATAACGTTCCTGGGAACATTTGGCAATTTGTTGGTTGTAATCGAAATTTGAATTACAATGTTTTTACAAAGATATTTTCGCCACAAATTTAAGTAATTATTCAATTTTATTGTTAATGCATATCATGATTAATGTTGTCATATTCATAAATTGTTTAAAATTTAGGGCAATTCTTATTTAACATTAAATTAATTCATTAGAGCTAGTAACATTGAAAAAAAAAATGTTACAAATCTAAAACACTCTTGCCGCTTAGTGTAGTATATGTCACACGTTTATTACATATTAAACACACGCAGTGTATAAAACTAGCATAACTGTATAAACCAGTGCTTCCCAAACTCTGGAAGGCGACCCTCTAAGAAGATTAGAGATTTAGATGTATTAACAGAAAGCAATGTTCAAGTAATCCGCATTTGTTTACATTAAAAAATTTTTTCTGGTGACTCTTATGATTGTAATCCTTTCTACTTGGAAAACACTAATATCATCCACCTGCTCGATTTCAAAAATTGCATAGTTAACGATTATTTAAAAAATTAATATGTTTGACGGAATGATTAATTGTAAACATTGCTAAATTATACAATTGCACTTTTTGTCACTATACAAATTTGTCTCACTTAAATTTCTAAATTTAAGAAAAAAACAAAATATTACAAATTATAATTTATAACTCGTAATTTGCACAGAAAATTTGATCTCGAAATTCAATAATAATATAATTATATCAAGAAATAAAATTATTCTTTTTTAATTTATTAATATAAATTCTTTTAACTGGAATTATTTAAATCAGTGCAACCTTATATTAATTTATATTAATGGAAGTCAACAAGTGAATTCACTAATAATCCATTTTTTATCTAATCGAAGTACATGTTAAATATAGTTTGATTTCTCGAGAATATCCTGGTTTGTTAAATTTGTCGATTATGATAATGTTCGATCAAAAATGTCACATTTACAATTTTGTTGCATTTGTTTCACATGGATATCGTCTATCCATAACTAAGCTATTTAAAGATTCTTAGGTTTATTTTAAGACACAGCACACATGTCGCCAAAAAAGATGCAATTCTTCATCACATAATTATGAATATTTATAAAAAACTTTCATATTTGTTTCTCTACGGAATGTACATGTGATGTATATTTTATTATGTTAAACGTGCATAAGTAGTATTATGCATACTTGAACTTCAATGTATATAAATTCCTTAAAATTTAGGCACATAGAACACACATTGATATTATAAAACTCGTGCATAATAATGCTTCAATTATGAGAGCATTTATCTCACTATACATAATTAATCAGCTACTTTATAAATATGTGAATGTCCAAGGAACATATCTACGAGAGTGGCCTTTATATTAAAATTTCATTAAAAGATATCCAAGTAACATAAATTTTATCCAAAAACTTACAAAAAGATATCTTAACTTATATCCTTTAAACAACTGTACATTCTTTATTATATATGTATGTTCTCATAATTGTAACATACGTTACGTACATTACGTATAAGAACATTAGAAATACGCATAAGAATGCGCATAAAATATATAGTTTCATTTAATCTTATATACAACACGATACAACAAATACTGTTAGGTGTATCTTAAGGCACTCGTGCGAATAAAATATTAAATAGTTGAAACAAACTTATGAAACAAAATATTAAGTGGAATAACAATCAATAGACTTATGTATATGTATATATATATTCTTTTTTCTATTTGGTTAAATTTCACGATAGAACTTCGTCTTTCGTATCGATAAGGTGACTTTCACTGTATTTTTTATTCTTTAAAATATAAATCAAGAAAAAGAAAAGTATGAAGCGATTGTCAATATAGTCTGAAACCCTGTACTAACACCTGATTTAGCCTCTTAACAGGAAATATATATATATTTCCTTTCTTTCTATTTCCAGGAACTTACTCTTTAAGGATTTTTCCTACTCTCAGGACATATGTATCAATATAATAATAAGAAAAAACATTAATAACATTTAAAATAATTAAAAACTTCATTAGTTGTAAACAGTAACTCATAAGGCACGTTTAAATAGTTTGAATAAAATATAAACATGTGACAGGGGGAGTGAACAGGTATCACTGTATTACGTGTGAATTTTTCTACTAACTATGAGATGTTACTGTTGTGCTACGTGATGTTACTGTAGTCATATATTGAAAAGAAATAAATAAGTCTACAAATTATTATTTAAATACTCGTAATATATAATATTTGATTAAGAATCCCAACAATAGAGATAATCTTTTTTTTTATAAAATTTACATACTCTGAAGTTTGCAATGGTACCTTAATATTTTCTGGGCGCACATTCTCGTTACATCGGTTCCCAAAACTTTAACATCTCATAGTTCATTAATTTTATCTTATAACATACAATATAGATATCTTTTACATTGACTACCCCTGCTTAAAATATATAATTTTATACAAATATAACTGTATATATTTTTAGGTCTGTTTAACGTTACAAGAGTACATATCTTGTTTTAAAACAATAATAATAAATATACATATATATCTAGATTTATATATGTGTATGTGTGTGTATATATATGTATATTTATACATGATATATATATATAAGTCTTTTCACAATATAAATAAAAATTTATAACGAGCACATTCATTTATTATATTACTCATAACTTCATTTGTACAAATAAAAGACTGTGCAGTCTTCGAAAACTATAAATAATCTAACATGTAATTTGTAGCTAAAATCTTTGGCTAAATACCTAACTACTCAAAATAATTTTTTTTCAAGTAACTTTTAACAATTAACATCGATCAACAACGCATTTCTGCAAAGTTCATGGATGTTAATTTTACTTTGTAATTGTACAAAGGTAGTGTTATTATTAATAGTAGTAATTATATAATGAACATATATAATTCAACTGAGATTGATAGTGTCACAGATTTCTTCACTTTTTCTCCTTTACAGTACTTTATTTTTAAAGGTACTCACATTATTTGTTCCACTATAAGCGATCACAGGAAACATACATACGTAGCCAAAATAATTTGTAGTGACCAGTGCTATCACTCTTTTGTTTTAAATTCCTGTTGGGTGTGTTCCACATAGTTTGCAATATCCTGAAACATATAATTAATAAAATGGAAGTATGTTAGTATGCAACATTTTTCAAACTCTCTATACTTTGACTATTAGAATATTGTTTAGTACAGTATTATACCTGAACAGCGATTTGTAAAGGCGTTAATTCCCCTATGGAACAATCTTTGCGAATGACAGTCGCTGGGAGGAGCCTGGGACAGGGTTTACCAGTGAATAGAATGAAAAGTGCATGAATGCTTTTGCGCTGTGTCAATTCCATATAACGGTGTTGATATCCAGCTAAATGCCGTAGATGTCGTGATGTTGTAGGGAACCATCTCTCGCATAAATTGCAGTATCTTCTATGCTTTATTGTTGCCTGCAACATAGCGTAAAAATACACAGTTATAAATAATTTTATTTAATTATGTAAAGTAAAAGAATATCTCTACCTTTTCATGGTAAGCTAATTGCGTTATAATATCAGCAATAGTCATTTCACAGTCTTTGAAGGAATGTTTCTCATCCTCCTCGATTTTCTCAATTGGACTTATTATTTTACTCTTCGTATCTTTTATACCTTGTGCCGCGTTTTCAAGCTCTTCTTGGTTCGTTATAACAGGTGGAGATCGCGAACTATCTCTGTCCGAACTGGAATCAAAATTTAATGCAAATTCTGGCACTAATAATGGCATATTGTCTTCTTTCGCTTTTGTTTCACTTGTACTGTCGTTATCCTTCTGATCTTGAATACTACTAGCCATTTTTTTCTCGGATACTTCATCTTGGGAGTCTTCTGGATCGTGTACGCTACTTTCTTCGTCTGTCGTAGTTTGACTAAATTTCTTAGTAGCTCTTAAGGAAATTGTAGTTGCTTCAGGTACGCTAGTATATCCACATGTCGACGCTGTAGGACATTCCGCGGAGTAAAGTGTTTCATCTTGTAAATCGTTTGATTTTATTTTTTTCCCCGTGGAGGGTGATTTATCTTCTTTGGAATGTGTCTCTACGATTTTCTCAATGTTCAATTTATGAATAAATTTCTGTTCTGTTTCCTCTGTGCTTCCAGATTTTTTATGTACCTTCATGTTTTTACCGTGTACATCTTCAGGCTTACAATGGGATTTGTCGAGATCCTTAAAATTGAAACTTAAACCTTGCTTCTTCTCTGCTACTGTTTTATGTCTCGATATTGTCATCTCTGTATTTTCATTTGGACATCGAGTTAAACATTTCTTTAGTGTTTCTTTAGCAGCTAATACTTCCTTAACTAATAAATCATTGCAGTAAAAATAATCGTTTGATTTCTTTTCTAGTCTTTGCATCTTGTTTTGGTTGTAGGTACTCTGAGAAGAATATTGAAGATCACTGAAATACGTTTTCGTCGATTCTTCGTCGGTGTATTTCCTGGAATGTGATGGGTGATCACATTTTTCAATGTCCATAAAGCTTAATTTATTAATTTTCGGTACGAGTGTATCCGAACGTTGTTTCTCATTATTATCCATAAGTTCTAATTCCAGTTCTAATTGAGTTGGTACTGCGCCATTTATATGTATCTTATTTGTATTGTCGAATTCACGATTCTTTGACTCGTCATCACTGCTATCAGGAGACGCTGGTAAAAGTTCTATAGTGGTTTGGCTTTCATCCGAGGAGTCAACTTTAATTATGGAATTGTCGATGTCGTCAAAATTACGCGAACGTATACCAGATTCTACAAATCTGTCTTCTATGCAAGATGTACTTTCCTTAATACCGAAAGATTTCTTTTTCTTAACCACTAGATCATTGTCTTCATTTATCAGAAGATTTTTAAAGGAGTTCTCTGTTATATTTTTAGATACAATTGAGTCTTTTGTCTCACTCTCGCTATCATCATTCAGACCATGATCCATTTTCTTATTTAAAAGTGGTCTTTTCTTACTATTCCTCTTCAAATTTTTGCTATCACTGTCAACTTTGACTTCATTAATATTCAGTGATTTATATTTACTTTCCCCTGAACTACTATCAACAAAATCAGTAATTAATTTTGTATCTACTTTCATATAATCGGGGTTAGACAATCTTCTCTGTTTACACTTAGCACGAGATAAATTCGATGCTGAACTGGATCTACATAGTTTTACATAAGTATCATGACATGAATCTGTATCATTAACATCATCTGCAATATGTGCAGACATGTTAGATAATGTATTTATCGCAGATTTGTTTTTTAACATAACTTTTGATTGATTTAAATCCATAACCATGTGATCCAGAACTTGCAGTCTTTGTAGCTTAACTTTTGGTTGCCATTTCGATGTTTCTATAGCTAATGTCTTTTTACTTTTACTAATTTCGCACTTGAATTCCGTTCCAATTTGTGTTCTTTTTATTATAACTTTGGGAATTTTTTCAGTAATGCACTGTGGATACTTTTTTCTTATCTCATCATCGTTAGTTGTGGTTTTATCATATTTTACAGATTGCCTTCCATTTTCTTCTTTTGTTCTTCTAGTTCTTTTGAAAGATGTTTTCGAAATACTTGTATCTTTTCCTCTGGTTCTATCTGGCGACAAAGACTTGTCTTCTTCTTGCATTCTTAATTTCAATTTTGGTGCTTTGTCGTCGTCATCATCAGTATCAACACTGTCTGTTTCCGAACTATCTTCTGTTTCATATTTCATTGTTAATGTCTTACTCTCCTGTGTTTTCATTTTTTTAACCTTTTTGGATTCACTCTGTTTAATGGCTTTTCGTTTTAAGTATAACTTTAAGTCCTTGGACGATATATCTTCCAATTTTATTTTCACTTTCGGTACCTTACTTGCATAATTGTTAGATTTTAATGTATCCAGTTCAGAATCGCTGTTATCTACATCCATACTAGTATCGTTATGTTCTGGAAAAATAGCTTGTATTCTTTCAAATTTAGGTCTGTCCAAAATTTCAATAGTAGGGGTTACTGAACGAGATCTGCTATTCATGATTATCATTTTTGGTATTTTTTGACGTACATCGGTTAGTAACTTTGTATCGTATCTATTAGCAGGATTCCCAGGTTCTGTAGAGTCTAATGAACATTCCGATTTTGAACTAAATGTTTCAGTTTTCTTTATGACAAGCTTTGGTATTGCTTTCATATCTATATTGTTTTCCGGCAAATCATTTGAACTTTTGTAAGATATAAGAGATGACGACTGACATTGGTTTTCTTTTTGTTCATTTTCTACAGTTTCATTTTTCCTACATTCAGTACGTTTAGCTGAAAAATCTTTAATGGTGCAGTACAAGCTTAAAACAGGCATCTCTTCTTCAATTGAAGAATCTTGATTAAAATTATCTTCATCTTTACTTTGAACTTTGTTAGAATAATTTTCTTCTACTTTCACTTCATCTCTGTGAAGTACAGCCGAGTTATCAATTGTATTGTCATCTTCGATATAAACTGCATTCTTAGAAAGATCTACACAAATCAATTCTTCGTATTTTTCAATCACTACAGTGTCTCCTTGTTCAGAATTCGTATTTAAATCTTTATCATTATTAACTGTATCAATAAAAATATGTTCTGAATTTTGTTGATCACTTGTATCTACCTGCACTATACGAGATTCAAATTCCTCTTGGTTCATGTAAGTATCAATATTTGCCTTTGAGCTGCGTGTTGGTGAATCATTTTTCCTGTATTCCAATGATGCAATATTTTCTTTTATGTCTCTATTTGTACTTTCTTCGTGCTTCTTTTGCTCTTCATTTAAAGTTTCTATTTTATTACTCTCTTGTTCACATATTAAAATGCTTTCCTCAGATCTTAAAAATTTCTCTTTATCTATTTCACTAATATCCTTGTTAGACAATGTTTCTATTATTTCAGTGGATGTACTTTTGGACTCTTCTGATTTCTGTTGATTCGTGTTATCAGCGTCTATATACAGATCTAAGATTGCATCTGTTGAAATACAATTTGCTTCATTAACTTCAGATTCTGATTTTTTAGTTTCCAAGTCTTCACAATTTTCAATACGATCTATATTTTCAGAACTACCTTCGGTTTTCAAAATAGAAGTTTGGTTCTCTGATATCTCTAAATTATTTTCTTCATTTTGTTCTTCAACATGTACTTCGTCATTTTCTTTTTCTTTAACAGAATATGAATTAAGCATTTGTTCGTTTTCGTTCGATAAAGCTTCTCCTTCCAGAACCTTTGAACTTGAACATTTATCTCTGGAACCTATAGCTTCTTTATCGTCGCTAGAAATATTTGTATTTTCGTTTACAATAGGACTTGGACTAGCACATTTATCATTTAAATTTTGATCTCTGTTTAACCGAAGGCTTTCTGAAGTAAACTCATGGGTTTTAGTTGGCATTGGAGATTTGTTTCCATTAAATTTAATATTTTCATTTGCATCCCCGCAATTCGGATTTAATATAACTGTAGCAAGTTCTTCTGAAGCAAGGTTGTTACGTAAATCATTCTCAGAACGGGACTGAAGTGACTGCATCTCTTCCAAAAGTATGTCTTCACTTTTGGATGAATGGACATCAAATGCAGTACTTTCTTTATTTTTATTTTTTAAATCTGAGTCATCTGCAACTGATTCTCTCTTATGCGATTTAGAAATAATCGTGATAGCTTTATTCTCGATAACATGATTCTTTTTGTAATTACTTATTTCACCAATACGATACTTGCTGCGATCTATGATTTCCTCGTCAGAATCACTGCTACTGTACATTTTACATTCAACAGGATTGTTATTTTTATGCACGTATTCCTTATACTTAACATGATTCCTCCCACAAAAGTCGTCCACATAGTTCTTCTTGCGTTCATATAAACACTTTGTGTCTTTAAACTCGTGTTTTTTCTTGTCGCTGAGACCATGATGTCGTTTCTTCTTGTACAACTTGCGAAACTTCGAACTGTAGTAACTATTCCAAGTGTCTGTGTAGTGAGGCTTTCGCATAGAAGAGCATCCTTCTCGTTTACGAGTTTCCATCATCAATTCCTGATGCGCGAATCTTCGATTAGGGCTATAAGATATCTTTCCGTCTTTGGTAGTGTATACAGGAACTGTATGCAAATTCTCCAGTTTATCTATGCTTGAAAAAATAGGATTTATATACCCGCTGGTACTTTGGAACATGTCACAGTCTTCAAAAATGTGATTTATCTTTGGCTTTTTCCACTTTCCCACATAATTATCGTCCATCTCGTCAACCCCTTCCACACTTGTATGAACGCGATCGAAATTCACATCTGAGCATTTCTTGTAGTCTAACTTATCGAAAGTGAAGTCTAAAGTGTTCAAGGAGCTTAACGACTTTGCGCTCAACTCTATAAGATTAAGTTCTGGTAGCTTTTTCGTGTTTTTCAGCATGTGGGACACGCTGGTCGCCTCTTTCTCGTCATCATTTTTTAACGCTTCTATCGTTGCCTGCGAAGAAGATTCTACTAAATTAAAACTTTGTTTTTGTATTCTAGCTATACGATCATCCTTTACATTCATGGAACTATCTTCACCCTCAAACTTATTCTTTGCCTTAATTAATATCTTATTATTTGCATCAACTATGGCAGTATTAGATATTGCACACTTTGACTTAGTCATATCAACATCGAGAGAATAATTAGTACCCGCGATTATCTCTGATCTTGATGAATCCTTAGACGAGGCGTTATTGTGTAATAATTTATTAAGATCCCGACTTTCTGAAGTCGAATTCCGCATTCCTTTGGATGTAATAGATACTAAAGCATCTTCGTCTGCTTTCAATGAATTTCTTCTCTGTTCGTTGAGAGTGATACTCGCACTTGTACCTACAGCTGATGTTGCTATATTGTTTTCAGTTTTATTTGCTTCGCTAGCATCTACTGTCATAAGAGACTTTTCAGGTATGTTATGTATTGTGTCATATATTTTCGTATTATCCGAAGTTTCTTGTTTTTTAGAACTCAGTCGATGTTGACAATCCAACGCATTATTAGAACAACTAGCAACAGGATAAGAAAGCGAATTATCAATTTCATACACGTTTCGATCATCTGCTGTTCTGAAATTTTCGTACAACAGCCGTTTGTTTTGCTCTTGTCCTTTTGAATTTCGTTCTGCACGCGAAAAGTTTATCTCGATCTTTATACCATCCAGAGAATCTTTGACATGCTCTTGACCATTGTCTCCTAAGATCAAGTCTTTCCCAAGCTCGCTATCTTTAATTTTCAAGTTCACGTTCGCAACTTGAATTCCAAAATCAGAGTTAACGTTTTTAACAAAACTCTTTGAATATGTGTGTCTATTCGTTTCCTCTGGGATTTCCAAGTTCTCAGAACTTACCGGAGAAGACACGTTTTGCTCTAAACTTACTTTACGTACTGCCGATAGCTCTTTATTTTGACTAAGTTGCGAACATTCCATTTTATTGGTCTTATGATAACCTATATTATCATTCACCTTTTGTAATTTTTCCTCCATACTTTTATCTTGATACAATCTATCTTTCTTCCTTCTATATTCGTTCAACAAATTTATTTCATCCGTAGTAAATTTAACATCTCCATCTATGGTTTCCAGATCTTTATTTAATATTTCAGACCTCTTAAAATTTTTAGAATGAACATGTTTCTTAAGTTCTATCTCTTCAGAAAGCTCTTTGGTATTGTTTGTTCTTAATTGAAATTCAGATGACTTTTCACAGCATATATTTATATTTTCCTCTGTGGTACCACGTGATTTCTGATCACTTAAAATAACGTTATCTTTTATCACAGTAACAGAATAATTCTTGGATTGGGAAGTCATATGGCACACAGAATGTTCGTCGCCTTGAGATGAGTTCGAATCATCCTCGGCAAATCTTTTGATGTCGGAATGCTTTAATTGCGTTAAATGTTCCACATTCTTTTTCTGAACTTTTATTAATTTATCGGCATTTCTATCTATGCATTTATCTTCCCAACCTCCAGACTCTTTTATTCTCTTCCTTGCATTTAAGTTAACTTCCGTTAAGGTTGGATTAATGGTATTAATAGATACATTCAAATTTTTTATTTTCTGTCTTTTAGATAGCGCTCTTTCATGTTTGGACGTTTGCGTTTCGTCATCAGACTCTGTAGGACTTGTCAAATTTGCATTAGAAGCAGTCGAAATCACGGTACACGCGATATTATCTACATCTGCTGTGGAGTCGCTGTTTTGAATAACAGATTTCGTTGAATCCGTTGATCTTCTCGCTTTATGTTTTTCTCCGTGTACAGAGTTAGGAGATTCACATTCAGAATTCTTTTCACTTTCTACTATCTCTTGTTGAACCTCTAGTTCATACGCGATAGATGTTAAAGCAGCGCATGTGTCTGAAACTCTTATATCGTTTTCTTTGCCATCTATCAAGAACACTTTTTTCCTTGCTAAATTGGTTTCAAGATTTTTCACTTGTTTATCTTTAACAATTTCAGCCGATTTTGTTTTAGAGTTACTCGGAGAGAAATCAAAATTACTAATAATTACTTCTTGCTCGTGGTTACTCGTAGCGGCGCTGTTCTTGTAACGATTTTCTTTCTGGAATTCCAATTCTAGTGTGCCAAGAGATCTATTTTTAAGTTTATCTTCATTGCTCAATTGTCCGTATGGTTCCATTTTTACTGGAGATTGTGTAAAACTAATTACTGGACTGTTTTGCATTACTTCTATCGGATTAGTAGATATAGATAGATCCTCGATATTTTGCGAAGATTCCTCGCTATCGGAATGAATAGGAGTGTTCAAAGTTGTGGAGATGGGCGTACACTCAGACGTTGGTAGATCCGGTAAGCTTATGTCATCGGGATTGTGGGATTCTTCGCTGGCAAAACTACTTTGCTTCTTTAAATCTAGATTGTCGGTAACATCCAAATTACTTTTTGCTGATAAAACTCTCAGTTGTTGATTATTTATCGATGTGGTGTCCGTTTGTATTGTTTCAGAAATCCTAGAATCCTGAATATTTGTAACCTTGTTCACATTAGCAAGGGACGTACTGTAATTAGCAGACAATATACAAGTTTCATTTTTGTTGTGCTGCTCAGCACTTTTAAGAACTGTAGCTTCCGTTTCATTATTAGTTGTTTCTCGAAAGAACGATATTGTCTTTTGCTTTTCTAAAGTCTCTATGACCTGGTCGTTGGACGCTCCTAAAATGTTGCTTATTTCTAAGTTATCTACTATATGTATCGTAGGTATCTCATCAGGACCATTGCTTATACAGTGTATGATGCTCCCAGGTTTTACCACGCCTTCTCCTATCGTCCGTTTAGTGGTTTTGGCAATTTCCGCGCTTTCTGGCGGTGAATACGATATCGCCAAACAATCTTGTGTTGTTATCATGTTTGCTTCAGCTTCTTTCTCGTTATCCAATGGCGTTTTGTTTGAATCAAAGCTGTTCCTTCTGGCGACTTCTGTACTTTGTGGTGATTTTGATGAAAGATCAACGTTCTCGTAGCTGACGACTACGACTGGAGTGGTATCGCTTAAAACAGTATCTGGCAAACTTGACGTCGGTCCCTCTTCATCATCTGTCTCATCCCAATTAGCCAAAAATTGTCGAACATCGAGATCAGGCTTGTTGGCAAATTGTTTAGAAGCTTTCTGCTGCATCATCGTTTTGTTGCTAGAATCAGTATTCAAGGTATCAAACCTATGACTCTCGCTAGTTTGCACTTTCAATTGGTTTTGATTGAAGTCCTTGTGTATCGGAAACTGATTTTGCTTTTGAAAGGTCTCTGCACACGAGGAAGGAACATGTTCGATTTCCGAGGGAATCATTAACTGTCCTGGCTGCTGTGTTTGCTGGCACTTTTCATTAGCTATGGCGATAGCTTGATCCTTCTGTTGCTTCTCTATAGCTTCCGATTGTTGTTCCATAGATGGTGCATGTTGCAATTTAGGAAAACCATCTGTGATGAAATTCGAGTTTATTAACATACCATTTTGATCAAATTGCAAATTGATTGGTGGTACTGCAGTGTTGACTGGCGTCGCAACACGCGGAGTTTGTTGAACAGGATTTTGGTAACCAGTCGATTGTTGTAACTTTAATAATTCGTTGTACCTCAAAACACATTCTTTATATCTTGGATGTGATTGATACCCAGGTGTTCTGCTCATTTCCCGAAGATGATTTTCAATTGAAAATTTTTGCATTGCAATTTTATGTTGGTTAGTTTGTTGCTGAGCAGAAGAATTATGCATATAAGTACCTGGCATTCTATTTATTACCGCACCATTATCGGTGGTTTCTTGACATTCGTGAGCGATTTCTGTTGGAATGTTCCTCGCATATTGGGAATTAAAGTAAAGATTTTGGGAAGTTGAAGCCATGTTTCCATTAACATTCATAGTAGGGACTCCTTTAGGTAACATATTCCCATTTTGATATTGAAACTGTTTATTATTAAATTTTTGTTGAGCAATAAAATTTTGATCTTGATGTTTAAGCATTCCTGGATTCGACATATTCATATTATTCGTTTTTGGATGTTCTTTTACAGGATAAGGATACTTTTGATGTTCGGTTGAATAATTGTAATTTTGCACAGGATAGTTATGAAACATCCCTGAAGATGCTGGATAGTTTCTATGCGTTAAATGATCTTTATGATATTTGTAATCTGTAAAGTTTCTTCTATGATCTACAGCAGATGCATTGGACATTACAGGTGTCATTGTTTCTTTACCTTCTAGATTGTCCTTCCTAAAATTACAATTATTTCCAAAATGCCTGTTCTCTATCTGATAACCAGGTGGGTGTACATTATCTCTGTATGATGTATTATTTTGGTAGGATCCAAATTTTTCCCATTGTTGATAATTCATGTTAGGATCTGAATTACAGCACAGTCCCTTGCAAGGCACAAACGAGGAAGGGCCAGGTTTCCCAAGAGGTACTGAACCAATATTAGTATTTCTTGGTCCCATATTTCCAGGTCCTGGACCTGACCCAGATACAGGTCCGTGTCTAAGACCGGATCCATATATAGAGCCAGACCTAATTCCATTTACAGGATTAGTTCCAGACCCTGGTACAGAAGTAGTTCGAGGCCCAGGCCCAGATGCAGGTCCAGTCGATGCATTTATATTACAATTTGGTCCGTTCAAGTGACCAATAGGTCCATTAAAAGGCACCTGGTTATTTCTATATCCTATTTCATTGTTTATAGTTCCAACCACAGTGTTTCTTGGATCCACAGAAGCATTTAAGTTATCTAGCATAGGATTTCTTGTGTTTGGAGAACCATAATGGCCAATGCAGTTTTGCATTTGCACCATGGATGCAAGAGGACTGTTGTTTGAAAGATTTGGACCACTCGAGACATTGTTGTACAATTGAAAATTTCTTGAATTGTAGTTAGATTCGGTTTGGTGCTTATTGAGACCATCAGAGCTAAGACTATGCGCATTCAATGTTGGTGGACTAACACCAGGAATGAACGCCAAATGACCAGAGTTCACATTTTGAGAGTTGGGTGTAACCTCGTTCGTCTGTGAGGCATTAAATTGGTGCCAATCTGGCAGATTCCCACCGTAGTTCATTGTACATTGTTTAACTACAGATTTTCTATATTTATCTCATTCCCTTCATTCACAGAAACAATTGCACTGGAGGCAGGAACAGGACCTGTGGATACAAATTGAACACTTCTATCAAAATACAATTAAAGGTAACATTGTTTTGATTGTATTATTCAGAATATTATTTTGAATAGTAGATGTCAATTAAAATACAAACGTATTCCTGCTCCAAATTTGACACTGATTCATCCACTATCAAAAATAATATTCAACACACTTTTGTTTTAAATTTGGCTCAGCTCTGCTCTACTCAGACCAAAATAACATTTATTATCAATCGCGGATTTGATCGTTCAGCGAATCTCTGTTTAACTGATTTTCTTTCTTTGCTAGGTGTAAATTTCTTATTTCACGCGAAACAGTTCGATTAGGGACACCTATCTTTCGTATGACACACCTGTCATAAAAATCGTACCTCACTGTCCGGACCTTGAAAGTGCAAAGTTGACAAAGTTCACATATTTTAAGGAAAATGTTGCGTTTACCTTTGATTCCGCGCGATGGAATCGAAAATACTAGGAAACGTGCAGTCATGTGCACAAGCTACGCAGATTTTCATTATTTTACTCATTCCTTGAATGAGAATTGAGAGAAATCAAATCAAGTCTTACCTGCACGTTAATGCAATTCACAATACAAACGCCATATTGGACACGACTGCTAGACAGACATCACGCGTCTTCTGGAACCAGGTAGCATAGCTACGTTCCATATTAATCTCGCGTTCGATCGTATCGACCATACTTTCCGCGTTCCCCGTGGAAAACTTTGTATATTCATTGGTGTATTTTCGCGTCCTCGAAATATTCCATCGGTATAGAATGTCGTAAATGTCCCTATTTTTGTTGGTGAAATTGAACAATTTTCGAGCGAATCCCTTCACGACATTACCAATAAATATACACACATAACTAAAAGGCTTCCAATGATAAATTTTACAGATTCTGACGAATAGTTTCCACACGTGCTACATTAGTATTTTCGCAAATTTCGAATCAAAAGTAAATTATAAACAAAACCACGTGACTTGTCAGGACCGAATGAGATTCGATAAAAGTTGTACAAGTCACTGTTATATACATACTATAATAATTACTGCATTACAAATATACGAAGATATCAAATTACGTATTACTAATAAAAATAGAGAAGATTTTTGTTTGTTTGTTGAAAAATATTATTCATTCCTTTTAAGTAGTTCAAATTTTGTACAAATAGCCATCTAGTGATAATCGAACCAATTCAATTTTTGGATCTATGATCAGTGTCCTCTGTGGTAGATCTCTAAAGTTTCTAATGAAATAGTTTCAGATCTATAGATCTGAAATCTAAACGATCAATTATCATTCATCGGTAACAGTTTTTTTACAAAAATTCAATAGCAAGTTCGAATAAAATATTACAAATATCTTTAGATATATTTTTACAACTACGAAATCGAAAGATCATCAACATTCATAATATAGAAATTGTCACATGATTGATCAAATAGAAATAAAGAGAAAGTTAAGTTTATGAAGTGAAAGTAGAAAGTTTATACTAAGAAATCCTTGCTGGTCTTTAATAGGTAACCAAGTATTATAATATCTTACAGAGTTTTACAATTATTTATCTGACTTAAATGTCGTTCAGATAATATAGATTTCCTTTCTATAAAAGGACTGACAAAATTAGTTGATACGAACGAAAATAGCGCGTGGCAGGTTTATGCATACGCATGCGCGACCACGTACATTATTCTGCCGACAACATAACTGCCAACAGAAACAAATACTTAAGTGCCTTTTAGCAGCAGTAGTATTGTTGAGTATTCGTTTCTTTACTGCATTTATAACGCTATGTCGTCCGGTGGTTGGGAATTAGTTGGAAGAAATAAAAAGGACAAGAGCAATGGAAAGATTAACAAACTCACGAAAGCTGAAAAAAAGAAATTTATCGAGAATGCACCAAAAGTGGAAGATTTTTGTAAGCTATTATTTTTAACCTCGGATAACTTATTTTCATTTGATATCATTAATTAAAATTGTTACGATTACCAATTAACATTATTTAAACAGTAGACACTGTAAATATTTTTCCACCATATGTATCGCAGAATGTTTAACATAGAGTTACATTACGGTTTAAAAATATGTTATTAAAAGAGATTATCTTTTTTAGTACCCCTGAGCCAAGTGCAAAGTTTATATGATAATTTGGAAAATAACAAAGAGAATAAGAAACCATCGAAGGAGAAAGAAAATAAAACTAAAGAAAATGAAGAGAAGAAGAAGGAACAGAAACAACAATCAGAGAAAAAGAAGCAAGAGCCTAAGGAAAAACCTCCAAAATCTATAAAAGATGCATTAAATATGGTATAAATTTATACATTTTTAAGCAAACTTTTATTCAATTCATATAAAATTTATTCATTCTTTTTTCCAACAGATTAATTCTGACGAGCTTTCGGATGTCTTGACCAATGGTCAAGCCAGGTTTCCAGAAGCACCTCTAATTTGGCTCAAAGATCTTGCTGCATTTCTCAATGTAAAAATACCTATTGACAAAGAAGATGCAATCTTCTCTGGAAAACCTAAAGATTATCCATTAAACATAGTACCTAAACCAATTTCTTCCACTTTAGAAAAGGCTATTGAGATGGCAGGGAAACAGACAGCACAACTTTTTTATGAAAATACTCTGACTGCAATGGCTACCGATATGGTAAAAGGATCGGCCATTGTTGGGCACAAAATATTTTTACAACTTCTAGCGCGTATTAATCCAGAGATGACTATTGCTAACATTCCTAAACTGATCACTGTGAGAAATTCCTATCAAAATAGAAAAACTATTGGGCTGTCATTATTGTGGGCTTTGTCCCAAGCTGGTAGAACAAACTTGGCTGTGGGTTTGAAAGTATGGCACGAAGTAATGTCGCCCATGTTAGAAACAAAGAGTTATTCTAGTTATGTAGCACAAATTCTTAATGATCTTGTTTTCGGACACGAAAACTTTCACGATCTTAAGCTAGAACAATATCTTGACATCGTTGAAGATACATGTTCTGGAAAGCTTAATATACCTGTCACTGTAGGCAGAGAGATCAACAACAGCATTGAAAAATTGAGAGTAAGCATTTAATGTTTATGGGTATTAACAACTATTCTAAGATAATATGATATTTCTTACACATTTTCCAGTTAATTCTATTTAAAAATAAAAATATAAGTTACACGAAATTGTTTGAACTATTAATGGGTAAAATTACACCAAAAATACATGCAAACTATAGGGATGAATTAGTTAAAGCTCTTGTAGCTTGCTTGGCTACAGACTCTCTTTGTTTTTCTGTTTGGAGATCTCTTCATGCCAAGAATTTGTATCAATCTCATCTCATTTTAACGTACATTGGTAAGATATATTGAAAATATGAATTCTTAATCAGTGTATTCACAAATAGAACTAACAAATTCATTTTATTTTTCAGATGCCAAATGGAGCACCTTGCATACAATTTGGAAAACAAAGTGTTTCAAAGAAATGTGTATAATATTTCAAACAACTAACGAGAGGTGGAAAAAAGGCAAAGATGAGACTCTTGCCACTAGTTGCAGTAAAATATGCAAGGTAGGTTTGGATTTATAATTGAAATATCATGTATAAAATACACTCATGAAGTTGATATTTATGTGAAAGTATTTTGAAATTTGTAATTACTGATATACACCTAAAGTAATAGTATAATTCAATTAAAATTGAAATTGATTGTCACTAGTTGTATGACTAGTCTCTCATAAGAACCTCTTCATCATACATGCCTGTTGTATATTACGCGAGTGGCGAATGATTTCATTTGAATAATGACCAATCAGTAATTCGTATCGTAATTAATTTAATCATCGAATTACGTAAGCGATTAATGCATATTTGTTTTAATCATTTTTTAATTAAACTTTATCCAGCATTGACTTTGCACGGAGGCTCTCGAGTTTAAAATTTGTTTAAATGTCGCGCGTCATACCTGCACGTAATATTCTATTATTCTCTTTTTTTCACGTCTGCGCAACGACACTTATATAGAATTTCACGTAACATGTAATTTGCTTTGTATCTAATCTAATTGCCTTTATTCGCACGTGAAAAAGATTACTTGGTCACGCGTAAAATTTTTAGTAACATTCGTAGAAACGTTTGCTCTGGAGAACGTTGCTATCGAACGTCTCGATAAATTCAAATCTCAGGTGTAACTTAGGTTAGGTGAGCGTGTTTTCTCGGAAGTAGTATCGATCGCATATTGTCCGCCTCGCACCATCAGTGACGATATTCAACGTTTGTCGTTATCATATTTCTTTTTTATCAGCGGATGCTTATTTAAAACAATTAAAATAGAATAATCTCAAAGACATTCTCTCTACACTTCGAATCAGAGGTAAGGAAATATGCGTATGCGAATCGAAGAACATAACTCGTTTGTATGTATATATCAACGATAATTTAACGGTGTTTACGATGACCTTTGGTCTTTTAAACTTGTTAATGAAAGGATGGTTGTCGATATTTAAAGTGATAAATAAGTTGTCGCGACGGTGCGTAGATTTGATTAATTTTATTTTATTTTGCAGACACTACTAGTGAAAATGACAGCTTCGTCCAATAAGAAATTTCCGTGGGGAAAGGGGATCGTTTTGTTATTATTTCTGATCGGTGCTGTTATAGGTTATGATGTTTACCAGCATGGTAATCTAAAAGGTAATAGAGATAAGAAATACGAACATCTGTCACATTTGAATCTATTATCTTTTAACAATATATCATTGATATTACTATCATTTAGAATCCAGTACGGTTAAGTTCTTGAACAGAAGCGGATTGTTGGTACATGGACAAAATGCATGGATCATGGTGCAAGGATATTCATCTAAAGCACTTGAATTTATAGAAGCTAGTTCACCAGAATATTACAAAGCAACTGTTGAAACATGTAAACCGTACATTAAATTGGCTGGAGACTTGTATCTTGTGATGAAAAATGTTTCTCTTAAAATTTATGACAATGCTATCGCATATACTGAAAAGAAAGGACCTATAGTCTTACAAACGGTAAATATCAAAAGTTTGATACAAGATACGTGTATTTGACAGAATTGCTTTTTGTGTTTTGTAGATCGAATATTATGCTCCAGGAATGTTAGACGAAGTTCGTTTACGGAGTTACCAAGGTCTGGAACTTGTAAAATTTTACTCTAATGTTTGTGGAGAGAAGTTCATTGAATATTCACGTACAACAATACAATGGTTAGAGCATAATGTTTTTGTGTAAGTACAAATATTTGTTAAAAGTGAGTATGTATACTGCTTATTCAACAAATTTAGGAAGTATAAGGAATTTTGTTGTAATTTAAAATCAATAGTTTTTATGTACTTGTTATTTTTTTTAGTGGCAAGCTAAGTCCAGAAAATTTGCAAAATTATGCCTCAAAAGCTATCGATACCACGCAAACATTGGCGAGTCAAACTTACGATTGGGTATATGAGAAGGTGCAAACATTATCGAAAGTTCCATGAATGAAATTCATTGAATGATCCAACCGATTTTTTCAGTTGATAAAAATCTCCTCTCGCATCTTAGCATTTATTTTTATGATTCCGAAGTTGAACGTTGCATATTTCCAAATGTATTGCGGCGGCCATTTTACCCACCTGTGATATTCGAAGAATGTAACATGTTTCAATGAATCGTAACATTTTGAAAATCCGAAAATTCTGTCAAAATGTTGGTCTTTTTTTAGGTTAATGTCTATATCAAGCAAAATAATGATTAAAGTAATATATAGATTACTATTTAGTATCAAATTCGTACCTATTATTTTGTACATTTACTAATATATTTTCATTTAGTATTCCTGGTATGTGAATTAAATGACGATATAACAAGTTAATATGTGAATTGAACATATATTGAATAAAGTTATTTTTTTTGGTATTTTTCTTATAAAAATAAAAGGAGGAGTGGACACAGTATAATTAATTTCTTAATATATGCAGAAATATTAACTTAATGTCATTGGATACATCAATAAGTGTAGCGATAGCGATGTTCGTAGGAGTAATAGAATAATGTTGATAAATATAGGAGTAGTAATAATAATTATTATTATAATTATAAATATAATAGCGCTAATAATGCAACTAATGGAGATGATTATGGTGGTAATGATAATTTTAACAAGAATATATTAAAGTTTTATATGGAAAGAGATCGATGGAATGTGACATCAGTCGCATCCATAGAGCTATGCATGTAAAAATGAGTATCGTCGTTTTCTTCCTTATGAGAAATGAATTTGGTAGAAATTAGTTTTCTTTCTTCTGCTATATAGTTTCACAGCATTCCTCCCTGATTATATGTATGAGCGTGCAACGGTTGTAAACACCAGTTATAGTTACAGTTCGTGAGGGAAAAAAACCTTCATCGTGTTTTTGTATATTTGATTGCACAGGTATTCTTCTTCTTCATCCCTAATTCGTGCTAGTACTTCTAAAATCTGACTGAAAAAAATCATACGATAATGTGAAATCATGCAATTATATTATCAATAATTATTAACATTATTTTCATTATTAATATTTACACTATGGTGCATGGTTCGTTTCTTCCTTTAACCATCCGATCGGGCTGCCATTTTTCTTTTTTGACAGATGGAAAGTTGGTGATAACATCTTTTGCTGATGCATGTGTTGGTCTTATTTCACACCATGGACAATCAGTTTCTATCATCAACCTATCCGAGGGAATAGTTGTGACAGAGAAAAGATTTTCTTCTGTTTTAAGAGAGCTGTGAATGTGATGAAAATTAGTTTTGTTTTCATAAAAAATGTATATAATTTATTTGACTAACCATCCATTAATTCCAATATACAGTCCCATTTGTAATATAGAATTAGCTTCTTCTGGATTGCCATCAAAGGAATGTACAACGCCAGCTGTTAATGTATCTTTATGTTTTCTTAAAATTCTTACAAAATCTTCGCTAGCGTTACGGCAGTGTAAAAACATTGGTAATTTTAAAGTTGAACACAAGGATAATTGCATTTCAAAATACTTTTTCTGGGCATCCTTTGAACAAAATTGTAACCTATCATAATCTAACCCCATTTCACCGATAGCAACAATTTTATCTTTATTATCCCCAGCTAGGTCTGACATTGATTTAAGGTATGCTTCAGGATTGCCACTTTCTTCGAATTCATTACAACGTGTTGGATGACAACCGATCGTTGAAAATAATCGTTCTGGAATATATCCAATGGTCAATATGTGACAAAGTTGAACAGAATGCAAAAAATGATAATGTAATGTATACCTAGATATTTCCATTGACATGCATTTTGTTGTTGCAGTTATAGAACAGAATCACAGCAACCATTGCATCTCTCTTTCAGCGGTTTCTTCATATGCAATGATTGCATTGCGATCTAATAAGAGATAAATAAACAGTAGTATATTATAATAATAAATCTTTACCCTCGCAATCAAAATTATTGTACTCATTTACAACACATCCATAGTTTTATGCGTAAGAGAATGAAAAAATTATAGATTATAGCTGCCCGTGATAGAGAGACACGACAGTGACAATGTTTCCTTTCTTGAACTAATTTACATATATAATTTAACTTAAAATTTTCAAATATTTATTTAACGATAACTTACCATCTGTTCGTGCTATTTCAAGAGCCTTCTTGCTTTCTTCTATGTTACCAGCAGTAATTATAATTCTCGACAGATTATTGTTCCAACTTCGTTCTAAAACTTTATCTAAATCCGGCTGATGTTTCTGTGATCCATTGTAAATTCCTTGGTACATAGAGTCCGTCAAATTGGCCCCGATATCTGTATTAAAATTAACAACGATAGAACGTATCAATCGTCAGTGCATAACCTCCCTCTAAATATTTGAAACCAACAGAAAAAATACGCTGCAGCATATATAAAAATATCAGACGTGGGAAACATTAACGTGACTATCGAGAAAAGTGTTTGGTTACCTATGAATTTTCGTAAATTACTCATTCTAGCTCCGAGCATTCAACTTATGAACGAAGTGACAGTTTTCCAAGCACAGTACTGTCTGAAAGGTTAGCAGGTGTCTTATTTAACCGGCGTTATGCACTGACACATGGATTTATTCACCATTTCATGTTCCATCAGAATGGAAGTTATGCTTTCGTACCATTTACTAAATATATGTAACAATTTGAAACTAAATTATATTCTTTGGAAACTGTATATCATCATTTTTATCGAGTAAACCAGATATTATTTTCTATTTAGTTGTACGTATACATTTATATGTGCATATAGTGATAAGCGTTCATATCTGTAGCTCGAGATTTGAAACTTTCGAAATTATTAATCGAGTCATTTTTGTTTTAAAAATGCAATTAACACATTCCAATGACTATTTAAATTTATAAATTTTGTATGAACTTCATCATTTCTTAAAAATTTCGTAAGAAATTTATACATTTATAAGTAAAAGCTTCTTAACATATTTGAATAAAAAATATAAATGCTTCATATATATTCGAATGTAACTAATGTTATGTCAAAATTAGATAAATGAGAAATATGTGGCATATAATTTATATTTCTTTATTACAAATCTTAACTTAGTGTACAGGAAAGGTTCTATAGTAACTTATCATGGAAAATTTGTTAGCTAATTGTTTAAATTAACTTTATTAAGTCTCTTTCAAATTCGAAGAATTTTATTACTGCAAAGACTTCACAATGGAATTGATCTTTTCCACGCATTCTTCTTTCTTCTTAGCAATAGCTGCTTCTGCTTCTAAAAATGGTTGACGTCCTATTTTCCCTGGTACTAATTTGTCTACATAGAGTGCTTGCTGCTGATTATAAAGTTCCTTCAATGTCTTATCATACTTTTGCAATTCTTGAACGCGATCGTAAATATCCCCGGATTCTCCTTTCAAACGTTGAGCAATTTCTGCAACAGTACTTGTTGCACTTTTGTATTCTTGATTAATGCCTTTGACAACAGACAAAAATGCATTGGCGTCTTTGTTCGTTTTGAGGTATGCTAACTGATCGTCTAACTCGTTATAAGAAGTTACTCGTCGATCTTGTGCAGCTAAAATTTTTTCACACTGTCCAGCAATTCTCAACTTACTTTCTGAAACCTCATCTTTGTCGATTGAAAAATCGAGCCTTACATATGTAATTACTAACAAAAATAACAAGTACAATGCAGCTGCTACAAGTAATGGTTCTTGTAACATTAATATACGCGGAAACGAATATTTTAACTTGAAATTTTGAATGTGGTTTTCAACCAAGTTTTTCTTTGTGACAGAAATTACTGGACGACCAGTAGTATCTAGATACGTGTAATGAAGAGAATCTGATAAACGTGTTGCTGAATATGGAAGGTTCAATTCAATGTTCTTTGAACCCTCTGGTAAAATAATTTTTACGAGCAGTTCATCTACCACCATATCGTCGAATACGTGATCCAGTAGTCTCATTTCTAAAGTGTACTGGTCCCCTGAATGGAATAGATACTCATAGCTAGGTACATTATATCCAACTATGTATCTGGTTTTCCAGCCACCAAAGAGTGGGAATCGTGGACGAAGATTCAACTCCACGGAATCTTTTTTAATACGAGTATTGGATGTTGAAATATTACCAATTTCATCTCTGTAATAAATATCAGAGGCAGCTGCAGGTAAAATAGTATCAAAGCTCTGTATACTAGCCTGTCCAGATTTTGATTCCTTAGCATATTCGTAGCGTGAGAATGAACCTTTCAATAAAGCACCAGTATGTACTAAATCAATACGTTCTTCAACAGCAATATTTCCCCAATGAGATATTTCGATACTTCTCTCAAGCCTGGTAACGGTGAGAAACTTATTGTTATTCTCAAAGTGTATATTCAATTCTTCATACGAAAAAGGAGGAAGCTTCTCGTATGGACCATATGTGATCATTGAATCACTTTGCGAAACTGGTTTAAACTTGGTATAACTTTCCACATTACGTGATGGCAAAGATACAATGGTAGTTTGTTTCATTATATTGTAAGGTGAATAAAGATAGATATTTCCTGTATATTTTACTAATTGCTTCTCTTTCTGTGTGATCTCCTTCGGATGAGGTGTAAGCTCGTGTGTTAATATCATTTCAATTTCAACAGACATAGTTCTACCAGGAGAGAGTGGTTCCTTCAATTCAATTCTATAAAAAGTCTTATCTGGATGCTCGTTTATCTTCGTTTCGCTCAATTTCAGCTCAACCCGTACAGGTTCCCTGTAAGCTGCTATATAGCTGAGACTGCTTTTTTGTTCAGGTTCCAATGAAAAAAGGAAATTTCGTATGTGTCGATCCTTGCTTCCATTTTCTAATACAAGTCTAGTCGTGACTTTTGTTAATTGAGATTGTAAATCGATATGTTTCTCCACATTCTTAAGGTTCAAGTAGGAATCATCGTCGATAGCGATGAGAGGTCGGACATGTAAACCGAAAAGCAGCGTGACACTCCATATTAATATAATTAGACTACACTGAGTCATATTTTCTCTCGTGATAACTTCCTTAGACTTATATCACTAATATCATTCCAACTTTCCAACTAACCGGTGAGTGGTGTATTTAGGAGTACTGTCGGCACATAGACGTGGCGTTTACCTGAAACCAGGTATCGCTAAGACAGGATACTCGTGTCCCAACATGCTCGTATTGTATTTAGTAAATTTTAGTAAAATATCTAAAGCAGGATGCCATTGGGTGCTTTCAGAAAATTCATCGCTCGCTAAGCAGCTTTACTTTATAGCATTACGATATAGTAGTTAATATGTCATATTTATCACTTTTTATGAAGAGTTATTTAAAGTAACAATAATTATCTAAACAGCTGATGAAGGGAATAATTTCGATCTCGCTCGATTTAAGGCGAAAATGGTATCACCACCTAGCGGTGAACAGGACGAGTTAATTTTTCGAAGGTATGTATCCCAATATCTCATTTTCCGTATAATTAACTTAAAGTAAAATTAAATACTAAATGTACGAAATAATAAAATGGTTAACGAATGTGTGATTATGTCAAATTTATCATCTTTAAGAATATTTTATTAATACTGGTTTTATTATCAGTGGCGTCGTTGGTGGCGAAACACTCAAGTTTGTAGTGAAGATAGTTTCCACTGTCACCGTTAGATGATGCCACTGACCTATACTAATAGATTTAGTACACATTATTTTATATGCTATTGTGACCATTCATATTAATATTATTTATACAAAATTATGAAACCTACGTTCAAGAAACTCTGCATACCTGTTAAAATAGGCGTGCACCTTCTACCAATGAAATAAAAAGGCATTTCTGTCATGTAAACGAAGCTTATCTCATTCAAAGAACGCATGCGCAACCCCACCCACTGTTCATGACAAATGCAACTTTTACTTCCGGTTGAGTTTGACCTCTGTACAAGGTTTTTTGGGTTTAGCCGTATTCTTGCTTGGTGCTTCTGTTATCCTACGTCATCCGTACATTTTCTCAACTGCACTTGCACTTTGCAATTCTATATCTCCCGGGGATATATTTTGTTTGTCGTATGTCCATCCAGAATCTCAACACATTCGGTAAGCATTATATTTTCTATTTCGTAGCTGATCGTATTCTAGAAGATAGTTTTATCAAAATGGCGATGGCGTCTTTTCCTTGCACCATAGTACGCAATCAATTATCGTTATGTGTCGTTTTCGCATTTCTCTCTCGAAAGTGGTGTATTTTTGGAAGAAACTTATCGTTCGAAACGAAAATTCCATCGATTTTAATGCGATGCGTATCGTTTGCTTTGGCCAGACCCCTTTGCAGATGCAATCAAGGGTTCAGATGATGATGTCCAAGACGGTCTCGTGCATATAAGGATCCAGCAACGAAATGGTCGTAAGACCTTGACAACGGTGCAAGGACTCTCATCTGAATATGACTTGAAGAAAATAGTGAGAGCATGTAAAAAGGTAATAAAAAAATCACGAGTGTTCCGATTCGTATTTCGATGTGTAAATCTTTTGTCAGTGTCAGACACTGTGCTAAAAATAGAAACGATGCAAACAACTGTTCAGTGTAGAAATATAATTGCACACGATTTTGCAAAAGTATTCCTGCTTATATTTTCGATTTATATGGAATTTTTAGAGTAGAATTTCTTATTGAGTATTTTGTTCAGTTTTTTTAATTATTAATTAGACAGGAAACATTGATATATTTGACATATTAAAACTATTAACACGGTCTTCCTTTTATATGTATTGTATATTAAGTTTTGAATACATATTTAATATAATTTTATTTTTATTTTCCATAGAATAGAAAATATTTGTGTTTGAAACATTACAATCAAAGACAAACATAATTTTATTATTTACATTTATTTATTATATAGTAGTGTGTATATATAATTGGTGTTAATGTTTAACAAATTTGATTCTCGATTAAATAAACTTCTAAAAGTGACTTTTAGAAAAGTCTTTTAGCACAACATAATTATGTTTTCAAAGTGTGGTAGAGACATGTCATGTGGATATCTCAAGAGGCAACTTCATTTAGACAATCCATGCATGTGTCCCTATTTTATATATTTGGTGCCAGAAACTTAAAATGAATAATCCCAACATTTCCCGTTTTTATTTAAATAATCATGAGATAGAGCAAAGTAATACAAAGGCGAGAGTAAATTTATAAAGGCAAAAAATAAAATTTCTCTTTATAGGAGTTTGCGTGCAATGGGACAGTAATTGAGCACCCGGAGTACGGGGAGGTGTTGCAGCTGCAGGGGGACCAACGAGAAAATATATGCCAGTGGCTAACAAAGTCAGGTCTGGCTAAACCTGACCAACTCAAAGTCCATGGTTTTTAACCAGCAAACACCCATGCCACTATCTAAGAACACACCACCTTCATCAACACCTTATCATCTTAAATTATCTGTATCAGTCACTAATACTTGTTGATATTTCGTGAGATATCCTATTATATACACATATATATTTCAATAAAAAATATATAACAGTAAAGATATAGGCACAATATTCTAATCAGACATTTTTATGTTAGATAATCCACTAAACTCATCACATTTAAAGTAGTAGCGATAATTAATTAGTAACTTGAGAAAATACATATACAAGGGATAGATACAAATAGCAACGGATGGCTTTTCTTTTTGGAATTAGGTAGTATGTATCTCGGCGCTATAGACGTATTCAGAGAGAGATTAAAAACAATTGTTTTAGGCTGCATATTGGCTTATTGTGTGTAATGCTGAATGCTTTGTTTTCTTTATACACTAAGGTAACAGACCTGATTTTATATTATCAACTTGCAAGTTTTGTGCCTTTGATTCCGCATTGATTGTATTATTTATTGAAAGGATGATCTTTTATTGTAATGAATATTTTTTAGGGAGAATTGCCAATTTTTTCCTTTTTAATGCAGTATTGACAACATTAGATCAATTGTTTCCAATAAAAATGTGGCTGTTCTAAATAAATAAATGGTAATTCACCAGTTTTTCGACTTTGAATCTTACTTCCTATCTTTTACTAATTTAATTATAGTAATAAAATAGAAATAAGTAGTTATTGAGAATTTCAATAACAAACATTTACAAGACTTATTGAGAAATAACGAATATGTTATTAATATTTATATACAATGAAACATTTACTGTAACGTTTGTAAACTTGATATTTGTTTAATAATTTCAATTGTACTATGTAATTCGTAATACATAAGGTAATTTTAATAAATAAATTATTCCTCTAACAATAAAAATATGTAAGTTCCGGTTGTTGCAACGTTTACACGCAAGTCGATACATTTTTTACATACACGTGAACACGTACGCAGGTTAGATTCAGCTTAATATTTTCACCTTACAAATAGTGATCGACAAAAAAGACGATCGGTATCGTTTAACGAGATGTAACTGTAATATAACATTATATTTTACTCTTTTTTTATTATTATTAGATGTTATACAGTGGGAATATTATTATTAGTACAAATTTGACCCTCCTCGTTTTTTGCAATTTTTAACGTTCAAGGTGCTTTGAATTTACAACGAAAAAAGGTTACGAAATTCTGTATATACACATTTATGTACATGTTTGTATTATACTTCAGCCTTTCAAGAGTGATTTATCAAAGAATCATAACGTTCGATATGCTATCTGAAACATTGATATCATTAATCATCAATTTTTTAAAAAATCTAACGAAGATATGAGGAGATATTGACCTAGAAGATTCTGTACAGTCTTTTGTTTCTTAATCTCATTCTTCTCTAAGACTTTTCAATTTCTTGTATTTCTGTTTATTATATTAATGAATTCTGAAACAGAGAAAAACGAAAACGAACTCTCATTATTTTTCTTTCGTGCTTTTTGTAAGTAAAGGAATCAGGTGTTTCCCTAAACTAACACAGGGAAAATCTTACAACTACGTTGTTATTTTTTTTATTACGTTAATTCGTTTAAAGTTTAAACGATCATTTTCAAACTTTGTAGGCGTTTAAATTTAGCGGACACGGATCGTGACGGTTCAACCGCTAGATCTCACTACCGTCGGGCTACATACCTACGACCCACAATGCACTGAGCTACGGCATGTGCCTTTCTGTGTCGGCCATTTTGTAGTTTCCTTGAGAAATTGTGTTGAGTTGATTCATCTTCTCGGTAAGAATTTTATAAAATTCTAAAACGGCGCGAATCACATTGATCCAAATGATGTAGAGGATTGAGGGCAGATGCTTATGGCTAACTATTCATAGCTTGAGAACGAGGAATAAGGTTGCGTTTTTTGCGCACAACCGTGTGCGCTCACGGTACTTACACCCGAAGAACGAGCCAGTAAACGAAGCTGCCGAGAACACCTATTGATAAAGGCACATGGAATCCGGGATTGTTTCGGGATGAATGGTGATTTCGGTAACGATATACGATACGCATAAGTGTACTGTCCAAGTGGTTGTCACCATATCTGCGTGCGTGAACGTGTTGGCCCGGCCAACGTCTCGCTCTATATTTGGCTAATCGCATCCAACATATTGCATATCTTGCCTTTTCAAAATTTTTACTTTTCATGCCGTAACCTTTCCCAAAGAACTATATCAGAAGGATACAATGTGACGTTTAAGTGTGAATGCTTGACGATTGCACATTGATTCTGAACGAGAGCAAATCTTAGCATGTGGCACGGTTTGTACGATCAACATTCACGTTTTGACTTTAATCACAGTCAATGGAACATTTCATTCTTCTCTCGTTACAATTTTCGAACTTTCCTTACGAATTACGTGTACCACGTTTCGGTTCCAACGGTGATCAATTAAAAAAAAAAAAAAGAAAAACCTATCGTTTCACGAGGACATTTAAAATTTCGATCTTTTCTATTTTCGCGTTCGTTGTTCCTTTATAGTTTGTAAAGATATTATTTAGGTAAATCTGTATAATTTGAATACGCGTACATATATGCATTTGAGCACGTACACACACCCCCGTCTGTTCGCGCGCGCGCATACACACGTACGTAACTTATACACATTGTGTGAATACAACTATGTGCTATTGAACATGAACGCGCGCGCGCATCGTACGTGCGACAACACTTACATATCAATTACGTACATGTACGTAAGCACTGATGTGTGTGTACGCTAGTTGTATAGGTACTGCACTGTATTACATCAGACTGGTATGTTGTATTGCATACTGTTAATCATAGTTTTTAAAAATTTCTTAATGATAAAAGTTTGCATCTTAAGATTCATATTCTCAATCTTACAAATTCATGGCTTATACACAACATTTTTAATTACATTTGAAAATTCATGCATTTAAGTAAAATCACGTTTTGTCCACAATACATACATATATATACATATATTTAACAATGTAAATAAACAGTGTTTTGTTTATATATACAAGAAAGGGCAAGAGGTCAATTATCAAAATTATCAATTCGTTTGATTGTTCATTCAAAGTATCTATGATTGATTAAAAACTATTATTCGATTAGAGTAATTGTTCTATTGTCTAATTAATAATATAAGAGTATGCATATAATTGAGGATATATTCTGGTTTCTTATGCGTTACATTAAATATTGTTAAATGTGTTAATCTTAATAATTATATGTGTATTAACATTGGTAACTTATAAATACACATATTACATAGATATTTGATGCTTGAACTTCTTCTAATTAAATCAATGTAATGTAATCAAACAAACAATGTTTTATTCACTGACAAAATGAAAAATTATATAAACATTTTCAACCTTGTACAGTCTTTGTCGAATATATTAATTGAGGTGAAATTAATTAATATTTATACTAGTTCATTTTTTATATAAGTAATCATATGTGATTAAAAACATTCATGTAATGAATGTTCATCTATGAATAAAACATAGTACTTATTTGACTGCAGTATATTGTTCATACATTACATCTTTTAACATGTAAGTATAATACATATGCAACATTATGTGTCTTTATAAGATAACATTTTGTATTTTTCATAGGGTACGTGTACATGAATGGGGACATTGGGAAGCTCCAACCAGGGGCGGTTTATCCAGCCACCCCTGAACCTTTGGGTTCAGTTGGGGGTGCAATTGGAAACACTCCATCCAATTTGGAATATAACGTCATGAACGGTGCTCCAAGTGGAAATGAATTAATATTAGAGGCAGGTGTTGGTAACCTAGAGCCTTCGCCGCAACATGCTATAGGTATAGGAGGTGCAGCAGGTTATGGTCCAGTGGATGTTGCTGCTTTAGGTGATGTGCCAAATCCACCTGCCTCAATGGCTGATTTATCTTCTCCTGGTATACCTTTGGAACAACTAAAACAGATGCTCTCTTCGCAACTTGAATATTATTTCTCCAGGTAATTTTACTGTAATTACTGTTTTTATTTACTATGTTCATTTCAATCCAGAGGTTTGTATTTTACCATGTTCTTTTCTTTTAGAGAAAATTTAGCTAACGATACATATTTATTATCGCAAATGGATAATGACCAATATGTACCAATATGGACAGTAGCGAATTTTAATCAAGTGAAGAAATTAACAAAGGATATAAAACTTATAACAGAGGTTTTAAGGGAATCTCCCAATGTACAAGTTGACGAAGAAGGACAAAAAGTAAGACCTAATCATAAGCGATGTATTGTAATACTCCGTGAAATACCAGATAGCACTCCTTTAGAAGATGTGAAGGTGAGAAAATGTTTCATTTTATTTTGATTGTGATCACCTATTATTACGATGTATTTTTCTCTATATTTTATGAATATTTTTTTCTTTTCATTTAAAAATAACAAAATTTTATTTCTGATCGCAGAATTTATTCTCTGGAGAAGGGTGTCCAAGGTTTATTTCGTGTGAATTTGCCCATAATAGTTCTTGGTATGTAACATTTGAATCTGATGAAGATGCTCAGAAGGCCTATAGGTTTTTACGTGAAGAGGTTCGGGAGTTTCAGGTAACATGATACTAAAAATACATAACGCTGCTTCATTGTTATTAACTTAACGTTAATATATTATCGTTTGCAATTTAGGGAAAGCCAATAATGGCGAGAATCAAAGCTAAACCAATGAATAGGCTACCGATACCAGCAGTTGCTGGGGTGGGTGGTATTAAAAATGGTTATAGAACTCCACCACCACCACCAGTCTATGATCCAAATAGCTATACATCTGGTCAGCAACGCTTCATCTATACCAATGGGACTACAATGCCACAAACCACGATGCCGCCATATGCCAATCAAGTTCACGTATACGTAAGTAAACAAAGTTATATTCTATCTATTTCGAGACAGATTTGTTATTTTTGAGAAACCATTTACATGTTTAATGTATTTTTTTTTTAATACATAGTACATTGAGTATTTAAATATTATCTTTTTTTAGCGCGATTGCCGCTTTTTGTCGTCGTTTTAATAAATATATAACAGAGTGTTATGTACTTTTTGTAGCATCAACCATTTTATCATGCTGGAATTATGCCATGGGGACCGGCAAGTCCTGCTTATTTCGATATGGCTGGTGTTTTTACTATGAATGGTATTACGCCACATAATACGTTTAAGCCACACAATACAAGATATAATCCTCGAAACAGGTATTATTCTATACATTAAATAATCATTTTCACGAAACATGCTGTCACTGGTTGAGTTATGCTTCTCGCTCTGTCATATTCGTGTCTATTTATGTGTCTCCATGTATGTACGGTATAGAAATAAACAAAGAAACGGGCCTGAAAGACCAACATTGATGGATGGCGGAGGAAATATGGTGCCAATGAGGCGGACCTCGCATCCACCTATAAGTGGAGCACCATTACCCTTAGGAGCATCAGTTCCTACCTTTACTTCGAGCTTGGCTACAGTGAAGCCAACTTCTTCCTACCAGACCGGCACAAAGTTCCATTCCTCGCATACAACTATAGTGACAGGAGAGGCTCAGTATAATAGCAGCCACTCCAAGGGATCGCAGGAAAACGATGCTCAAACTCTGGACTCTGGAGTTCAATTCCCGCGTCATCGTATGCATCGTAGGACCAAAGACCAAGAATCCTTATCCAAGGCTAATAGTAGCCCCTTACCATCGGTCAGAGAATCTACCCCGGCCAGTAATAATAACACACAATGTAACCGAGGGGCACAATTCGATTTGGAAGCTTCTGCTTTTCCTCCTCTTCCTGGCCTAGATGCTGATCTTGCAAAATCCCATAATGCTTTGGTAGAAACTGTTGGTACTGATTGTACGCAATCGCAGAATAGGCTTTCAGACGTAGTTAAAGGTACTGCGAAATTGAAAAGCGTTAAAGAGAAAGAACCTGCAGGAACTTCGCAACAATATCATCAACAACCGACAAGTAACAGCAGTAGGTCTGCGAGCCCAGGGTCAAGTGCTGGTGGTCATACTGGTTCGCTAGAGGCACCGACTGGTTCTGGCAGTACGTCGACCACTCCCGTTACATCTACAAATACCAGCTCTAATGCTTCTGCTAGCAACAATGACTCCACAGACATCGCTCTCAGCACCATCACTCTCACTCCCCCGTCATCTCCTGATAAGTGAGTGTGCTTTCTTCTTATACGGGCGCGTTCGCGCTACATACATATATACACACATACACAGAACACAAAACGTATGCAGGATGTCCAATTTTAATCTTTCCACGTCGTTATCACCGAGTCTAGTAGTTGTTTAAAAAAATATTTTAGAGCGAACCCTTAGATGATCATACGATTTTGTTTGTACGTAATGTACGCGATAAGCTCTATAACACTTCAACGAACAAATTCATACGCTAAGAGTTTTTAGTAAATGTGAATATTAATGTGTTTATTATTTAGGTGGCGGATTAATCAATATTTATTAGAAAAAATAATATTTCAAACAGAAAAAAAATATACTTCATACATAAGTAACAAACACATACATGTCTACTTAATTTATAACGAAGATATAACACAATTTTGCTTGGTCTAGCCGGGTTACAATGTGTTAAATATGTAAAGTGCAGAAACGTGTACCCATGGTATAGGATTAAAGAGGATAATAGAGAGGATTAAAATGACAGACATTAATTTAACTAAGTTAATGAGTTATTAACGATATATTGAAGTTAATGTCCCGTGTGGACTCTGCGCGGTCGTCTAAGAATTAAATGAAATGAAAAGCCACACAAATAAATAAAATAACCTCGTGTTGTGTACTGGTTGTTGTGAGGTATTATTTTTATTTGCATATGTATATATTTATTTTTATTATGTAGTTTATCTTAAGGAGAACATGTTTTGGTCAATATAACTTGTTTCTAGGCAGAGATGGACAATATTTTATTGAAATAATATATAATAAATATAAAATTAACGATCTCTTCGCGACGTTAATACGATGATAAATAAATAAATAAAAATCTTGTTCATCTCTGATTTCAGGTGTCTTTAGACACTACACAGCAAATATAACACCCATATTGTTAAGGTCATTCAAGGTCAAATTCTAATAAATATGATATCACCTTCAAATCTTGGTAGCGATTTTAAGTGAAATTAAAATATGTTGATTAAGACATGTGTGCTCCGAAACAAAATAAGTTTGACCTGAAACATTCTTTTAAATGATCATTTTCGGAGATAACGGCCTGGAAAGATGAAATTAAGGCACTCTGTATATGCATTTACACACACATGTATGTACATATATTTGTATATATACATATATGTTCTGTGTACGTGCACTATGTAAAAGATTATATATTTTATTCTTATTGTAAAAGAAAATAGTTCTTTAATTACATTTATAAAGTATTGCTTATCATAAATTATTGTTAAAAACTCTTTCATTGCTTTTAATGACATATTGCATATACTATGTATATATGTATAGATATACACACAGAATATATATTACATGATTATAAACACGCGCACACACACACACAAAATAAACATATGTACAGGAAGTCGTATAGAGCCTGAAAAAGAATGCTAAGCTATGTTTGATAGTGTTGGCTGCATTATATGCTGCTATGCTCTGTATGGTGGATGTGTATTAGTGAAAATTATATTGTCCACCTGTATTTTCATATCATCTATAAGAAGGAAAGGGAAAGATATTCATGGTAGCGTATTAGATTTAATACATATTACATTCAATTTAGTATGGTGTTACAGTAATGTTGTTTAAATTCATGCTTATTTACTAATTCATAAATGGGATAAATAAAAGTAGTAAATTAATTATTCCGATGAAATGACGAAGAATAATGAATATTGAAATATACCTTCTGTTTTTTCGAAGATCCTCGTTGTGTTAATAGTAGTAGACGATTTATTATTTCTTAATAAATAATACCAAGAGTATATTGAAATATTTTTATTTTAGTCTCGCCAATATTTTACGAATTATTTTTATATGTCTATTACAAACAGTTGCGTTTTATATTGTTTCGAAAATGATTAATATAAATTATGTTGAAATTTCTGAGTATCCTGTTATTGTTAAACTTTCCCTTTCTTAATCACATTATATTCATATATAGTGCAGTAAGCAGTAGGTGTAACTTTCCTAAATCTACCATTATTTTATTATTCATGGTGGTTAATTTTGTAGACGTGCTCAGTTGTTCCAATTTGCCATTTATATCTATTCATTGATATATCTTCTTTTCCATCGAATGACAAGTTGTCTAACGTTGTTTGGAATGCCTCGCTAATACAGTTCTTTCATAAAAGAACAGATTTTCAAATAAGAGCTGGTGCTCCACTCGGTGAATAGAGCAAATTTTAACTTTAAAGCGTAAAATGCTCAAAATCGAGGTATTCATTTGATACTAGGTAGTCAGAAGCTTTACCATTCTTTTATGGTGATTAATTTTAAATATCACAAAGTGTTGCAATGCGTATGTATGCAAGAATGTATGCAAGTACTCTGTGGTAGCACAATTTATAATATCTCTTGCCTATATTACTGTGGCAGATGAACAATCCATATGGACTAATCTATTATTCAGGGTTCTTTAATATATGATTTTATTATTATTATTATTTTATTATTATTTTACTGTCATCGTCATTATCATTCGTCATTATTGTCATTCTCATAATTATTAATACTATTATTACTATTATTGATACTAATACTACTAACATAATTAATATCATCGTAATATCTCTATCACTGTTAAAACTATGATTATTATCATTAATGTCAGTTTTACAAAGACCAACCTGGTTGTTGGTTCCATTATCATTGGTCTTACCACTTTTGTCCTTATCATCTCGTGTCGCTACACTTATTATCATGATCATCATTCATTGCTAACATTATAATTTTACTGTTACCACATTGTCATCATTATTATTATTGCTGGTTTTGCTGTTATTACTGTTATTCGTGGTGTGATTATTCCTACTATTACTAATTCTATGTTACTAATGCTATCTCTACCATCATCATCATCATTTCTATCGTTATCATTATTGCTACTAATGTTGCTGCTACTAACATTATTATTGTTGTTATTAAAAATTCTGTTATTGCCGCTACTCCTACTACCATGCTTCTACTACTATTGCTATACTGTTAATGATATTGATATTATTTCTTTATTTATTATTATTATTTTCATCATCATTCTTGTGGTTTTTGCCATCATTTTAGTCATAAAATCATCCGCATTATTATTACCCTCATCACTATAAGTATCATCATTGTCGCTATCATAATTACTATTGCTATTACTATTATTATTATTATTATTACTACTACTACTACTACTACTACTACTACTACTACCACCACCACTACTACTACTACTACTACTACTACTACTACTACTACTACTACTACTACTACTACTACTGCTACTGCTGCTACTACTGCTACTGCTGCTACTACTGCTACTACTACTACTACTACTACTACTACTACTACTACTACTACTACTACTACTACTGCTACTACTACTACTGCTACTACTACTACTGCTACAACAACAACAACTACTACTACTACTACTACTACTACTACTACTACTACTACTACTACTACTACTACTACTACTATTATTATTATTACAATTATTATTATTACTTACTATTATAATATTACGTTACGTTACGTTATGTTATATTATATTACAATTATTAATTGTTCATTTTCAAGTTACTCTTAAAGGCATTTCAATTAAATTCTTAATTTTTAATATAAAATTAAGCTGTAATTTTTGGCACACGAGTATAATAAAAAGCATGGTTCATTATTAATGGATGACTATAGATTCATTGTCAGTGGAAGTAAATAAATGATGTGTATACTGGTTTGTTAAATAACTGTTGCAATCTTGCAAGACCCATTCCCTAATGTAGCGTTTTTTGAATGGAATTATACACAATAGTGACTGTTTTATATTTGTGCATGATATTTTAAGGTGCACAGTCGTAATTAATTAAGATATATTGAATATATGTCTATTATACTTATGCACGTTCAGGTTTAGTCCTTTATTATTGAAATGCACCGCTGACAGATCTGTAAAGACTGACGATACGAACATGGTGAATGGAGTGGATGAGGCTGTTTCAAATGCACACGCAGTGGAAGATTCTGAACAAGTGATTAGGTGCGAATGTAATGTCCCTACTGCCTCGCAAAATTCCCAGTCACAAGCAGGAGTGACTTCAACCTTCCCCCTAGTAAGTATATCATTTTTTTAAAGTAACAGTTTTGTAGTTTTATTTTTCCTAAAAAAGTTAACAGTGCAATGTACACGTTTAGTATACGTTTATAAAACTATAACAAAATTGACCTGGTTTTTCTCTTAATACAGTAATTGCTTATTTTAGTTATACATTTATCATAAAAATAAACATTGACGAAAATCTTGTAACCAAATGAATTAAAAAAATATCGTGTACTTCTATTTAGTATAATTAAATTTTTATTTCATTTTGCAAATAATGTTTACAGTATAAATAATGCAAATATAAATGTAACTCAAATTTCCAACTTTGTTAACTTACAATGGCATATGTTTGTATCGTATCTTTTGCAACCAAGAACTGGACTTTAACAAATAATATTCACTCTTTTTTATACTAGGATCTTACGAGGCCGAGCTATGCCCAAGTAGCACAACACTGTCGCGAACTACCTTGTACAAAACATAAGACGGATGAAAGGGATGGAAATGTGTAAATCAATATGTAAGTAAACGTCTTTGATAGTTGTATTATTTCTTTAAAAAAAAAAAAAAAAAAAAAAAAAAAAACAGTAACTTATTTAATATATAGAGTTAAAAATGTAGTGAAATAAGCGACTTTACAGATACTACCGCAATGAATTTCAATATTTAGCTGTTATTCTTCATCTGGATTGTATGGATTATGTACCACTGCTTTTATCCTACACTGGATATAGTGGGTATGAAGAAAACTTTTTACATTGTACAGTGACTTCGCCTACAATAAATGTGGTATCGATTAACTATGAATCATAAAAAATTATTTGAAGAAACTCTAATTCGCCGCATATTTTAAAAATACGTTTGCTGGCAGGATAATACATTATGTAGAAGAGTATTGTTATTGCTTTGGTTCTGTGATTTTGGAGGTACATATTTGTTAGCTTGTAAAAATGTTAAACTAAGATATTAATCTTTTAATTCCTTTCTCCTCTCCCCTTTCATAGCACAGGGCCGTAACTGGGAAATGTTTATCTTTGTGCCAAACCTTGCTATGTGCGTACAGCTTAATAAATGTTCAGAGTGCAACGAAACTTATTCTCAAACAGAATTACAATTAAAAAAAAATTTTTTTAAAATAATGTAATTTCCAAAGCAGATATATGATAAGAATACTTAATTTGAAATGAAAAAACAATTTCTGTTTTCTAATAATTTTCTATGTTTCATTTAAACTATTTATAGGCAAGTTTTGTATACTTTCCAGAATATTGATGACAATTATAATGAGTAATATAAAAATACTATTAATTAATGTACAAAGGAGATATTACCTAATTTGAGTTGTTCTAGTTTTTATGAGAAATGTAAACAATCAAATGATAGAAAAGTAAAAAGAAGCGCTACATGCGAGATATAAATTACTTGTGGCCTCGCTATTATGCCTCACAATTATATGTATTGATTTTCGTTAAATATTAACAGCGAGAAAATAAGGATTATAAATGCATATTACAAACGTTAAATATATTTTAAGGATCTCGCTAACGTATTGTCTTATTATTGATTAGTAACAGAAACAATTGAAACATTTTATTTTACAGTTGTTTTTTTAAGAACATTGATTATACAAGATGAAAATACTTGTATAATATAGGATCTTAACGCTTCTAAGTTTATTGGTATATCGTTTTTAACATCGAGCAGAAGTTAATATACGTTGGTTTGTTATATTTTCTGTATTGAATTTCATACATATACAACAATTGATATTTTTAATGATGAAATTCATTATTAGTATATATATTCTCTATTAAATTTACGGAGAACATTAAAACAAAGAAAATGTATTTAAAAAATATTAATTATATTACAATCATACTATAATCATTACATTGTAAGGCAAACATATAAATTTGATATATTTGTTCCTGAAATTATCGATAGTTATTAAGACACAGTATGCACACGATACAGAAAAACAATGTAACAGAAAAAATTTATACTAGGACATTAGTATACTCTGAAAATATAACATTCCATGTTGCCTCAAGTACATTCTAGTCTCTACTAGAAGCTTTAAAATTTATATTCCAAGTGAATCAGAAATAGTAATAAACTACGTGTTGTTATTGATATTCTGGAAATCATACTTACATAGATTTTAGTTTTGCGTTCAACTTAAAAATAAAAAAAAAGTATACATTGTTATGATGTTTAGTCACCTATTTACGGCACTGACTTTTCTTTTTAATATTACTGTTACATGAGATAACATACGATTTAGAATTATGCTTTGGCAAGTAATATAAGAGTTGTCAGAAGTGTATGGTCTTTGAGCACACATTTAAGTGCCTCAAAATGTTGTGTATATTACAGGAGCTTGGCTTTAGATGTTATACAATTACATGTACCTATACATTATAGTAAAAAACGCATATGATATATTTGTTACTGATATGCGTACAGAAATTGAAATAATGGATATTTAAAAAAAAACCAATCTCCTGAACTATAAAACAATTACCAACATGTATAATTATACTTTACATTTATGATACTGCCTTTTAATTTTTTTATATCTGAAACGATTAGCCACAATGTTGGAACTACAGAAAAATTTATTATCAGCTGTAAATGCATTAAGATATTATTTGAGTTTAAATCGTGGTGCTGTAAACACTTTGCTTTAGTCTCAGTCTTGTAGCACAACTTACATTAATTGTATCTCGATGATACCGTTAAAAATATGGTGTAACACGGTTGATTACATCAAGAAACAAGTATGATATATTTAATATACACACATAAAAAAATATCTTTTCATTGGTAAATTCACTCGTTTGAAATGTTCAATTTAATATCTCTAAATACAATTGATTTATATTTATCTTAAATCAGCTAGATCCTCGTTTTTTTATCGGCTTCTTTTTCTGAATTGTGTTTTTCAAAAAAAAAGTTATACGAATCTACGGCAAAGTAAAAATATTTCGATGATACTATTTAAAAATATAAATCATACCAATGCAATAGGTGAAATGAAAATAATTTTATCCGCAAGGCACAATCGCAAATAGACACTACTTATTCGATCGAGTAAACGTTAAAATCAATCAAAATCTGTAATTAATCTTTTAAAATTTGCATTCTTGTATTTTTTAAACATTACGTCAGTAAACATAGCAATAAACAATACATGGATATCAATTTTTAATTACCTTAATTAATGATAAAGTTTGCCTTCTGCACTCATATACAGAAAAATGAAATCGTTTCATAAAAATTACAAGTCATGTACACGGTATCTTTATCCAAAGAAGGTTGCATCTTCTAATTCTACGTGTCTTCTTAATATTACAAGAGTAGTCAAATGAAGAAATATTTTACAATCAAACGGTACAGTAATTTCTCAACATATTTTTTAGTTTATATGTAATGCCAATTCACGAGAATTTACCGATAAAAAGATTCCTATAAATACGAAAAATACATATGTATTAAAAAAAATTGGATAAGCATTAATATTTCTTGATTATAGAATTTTAGAAAATGTAAACAATATTACAGTGATTTGTCTTACTTTATGCGTTATCCCATAAATTATGTATAGCTAATTATGTGTATGCTTTGAATATTTGTTTTAATTACCGCTACGAATTATATGTAAAAAATTTGAAAGTTGATTCCTCTCTATACATTGTCTTTATTAAATGTATGGAACTTAATGTAAGAAACGTTAAACTGTTGGTATATATTATATACCTGTACGATACAAAGTAAGAAACAGACACACCAATACCTTGGATCTTAACAATCATTTGTCTTGTCAAAAATAGTAGTTAACCGTAATTAGTCAAATATATTTGAAATGTTTATTTTATAAAGTGAATCAGATAAAATGAAAATCCTTAAATGCATAAGAAGAGTTTAGGTAGCGTAACTTGCACTGGCAATGTATTTAACTTAAGGTATGTAATGATTTCGTATAAAAGTAGCTCCAATGGTCCAGGGTAAGGGTGACATACTGGGATAAAATTGTGATTGGAATGTATGGAAAAGGTATATTAGAATTCCGTTCTTTTTTAATAATCCCGTCACAAAACCGTGGCTGATAAACTTACGTTAACTCATTCATCAGAATAAACTGTGATTAGATTGAAGTCCAACAGAAATACAATGTATAATGTACTCCGTTTCATAGGCTGCAGGCCTAGAAAGTCTGATTTTTTAACTACTATGAGAACTTGTGTATTATAATATGATCTACGACGTTTGTTTATTACTATGTAAAGTGACAAATTTCAAAATTAAACATTAATTACTGTTATTGGTTTTGCTTTTACTTTACAACTTTTAATCTCACATTAATGTTAATATGATTACATTTTCGTTTGTTAGGAACTCTATAGTTACAAGTTAGATGGAACATGGCCTAGCATTGTGAATAAAATAGAGAAAAACTGATGTATTCTGGTAAATATAGTTGCAATTGATGAATCCGTATAGATGTGGGACAAAAGCTATTTCTGCATGTAATTTTATTCAGGGCATAAAGAAACTGCCAATATCTTTAATATGAGAGACTGACAGTATCTTTACACAAGATGCAAATTCAATTAAAATTTATGATATTTCTTAAATCTTGTTCTGCAAAAAAATGTAAAAATTATTTGGATATAGACTTTGTACGTTACGATGAATCAAATTAAATTATATATATTTAATATCGTTTATCAATCAAATGATTCACAGACGTTAAACATTACCTCGCTAACAACGTTACTTTATAATCGAGCAAGTAGTAGTTACATACTTTCTAGTCAATCTTTGATTGAATTTTATCAAAATATTTGATTTGGTGCACAATTCAATATGAACAGGTTGTAAGGAATGAGTATTGCACATTGTTAACATTAGTTATAGGATAAAGTTATAAAATTAATATCATTTTGCGAAACTTGACATCGATAGTATATAACGATACACAATCATACCTTTCTGTCTTCCTTCATTGTCTTGCATTATGATATCTTTATGTAATAAAAGTATATACTTTGTACATAAAATAATGGTGCACCATTTCTAGATATTAACATCGATTACTAAACATTGTGTTCTTATTTTTTGTAACTGGATTCGAAGTATTCTAAATTTATTCGAATAAATTCTCTCTATTTTAACTAAAAGTACGCTTTTTATTATTTCAAAATGTATATGTCTTGTATTTAAAACATCGAATATATATTATTTCTATTTATGTATTTTAAGCCTGTGAATATTTATCACAGTGTATCACTATTACAGTTGTAACTACTACAGTGACCACTGATACTGATGAACATATGATAAATTATAACTTAACATGAGTAGAGTAATTTAATCAATTACAAATTTATTATTTAAAATATTCGTGCAATAAAATAAGCACTACTCAAACGACGACGAACACTATTATGTATATTTATAAACTAATTTAACAATCGAACATTCCCGACTAAAAACTTATTTGTAGTTATTCTGCGGTTTTCTTATATAACATAATATACAACGTATCAACGTCATGTACGTTCGATGGAAAATTATAATTTGTAAATATGATTTGTTTATCATAGTTGGGCACTGGACTACAATGTCTTACCTAAACGTTTATGAAAACATAGAAAAACATTATGCTAATATGTTCCATGGCGCACGTCTTAAACATTTACTCCGTTTTTTACATAGTACATCTTTTGCATTATAAAAATGTTTATATAAAACAATGTTATAATAATCATAAAATTTATCATGCCAAATTGAATCATTTATTTAAAAAAAAATGTATCGCAACAAATGTAATTTATCGTGTCCAAGCGAAAATATTGATTAATTAAAACAAGTCGTGTCACACATGAAATTAAATGAAAGATTGTATTAAAGAGAAAGCCCGTGATCAAAATGATCTAAACGAAATGCTGATAATGTTACCATACAGTAATACAAAATGTAAGCGGCAATAATTATCTCTTCAATTACTTCGTCAGTTTATATGTAAGCAACGTTTAATGTTAAACATTCAATATTAGATGAGTTTAGCTGCCAGTTTCGATGGTCATCACGTTCAATATGTTCTGTACAATTTGGAGTAACAATTACATGCATGCAAAACGCATAACTGTACACATAAAAAACTCAGACTTCAAAGTGTGGGAATTATGTTGCATCAACAAGAACGTTACAAACTATATATTCCATCGTTATAAAACAAGTCTCTGTATTTGGGTCCAAGAAAAAGCACTTACAACGTTCCTGCCGTTGTTTATAAAAATATAATCTCTTTTTTTTTATAATTTAACCGATTCTCTAGTATTGATAATTTCATGGTATCTTGTTAGAAACTCTTACTTTGAAATTCTTTCTAAGTAAAAACATCAACGATTTTATGTAATACTCATGAACAAATATCGATTGAAATATTTGATCGACTAGCCATCATCAGTGTCTCCGAGAGGAAACAAAGAACCGAGATTACTTAGTTACAATATCAAGTAAAAGATGCAACACGTTCTTTAGTCGTCTAAAGTATCAGTACCCGTTATTCGTTTTGAAATGAAAATAATATATGGGAAATGATCTCGTTGACTACCATTGTTGCTCTTATAATATCTTGTAACGCGTCATGTAATATCAGTTACATTGCAGACGAACTCGTTGTACGTTCAGTGCCTTTTGACATATGTATTTCTATGTATGTAAATCAATGAATGCTTTTGTATCTACCAATAATCTCTCAATTTTCGCTAAAACAAGTACTCACGATTAAAAAAATAATCTGTCAAAAAAGCTCTTGTATTCCATAGCGTTTGAAACAGAATGTTAAACAGTAAATTTGATTAAGCGTTGGTTTATTGTTTGTAACTACGAAATACATAGAGTAAACCAATTTTTAATCAAGGGTATTTACATATACATACATATACGCATACATAATTTAGCATTAGCGTGCTCGTTTTAAAGTGCATAACTTTTAAAGGTACACGCATATTTTTATAAATGTCGATATTGATACGATGATTTATTGTATACAGGTTGAGTCTCGTAAGACTGAATTTGCAAAAATTTCTGTTACTTTCAGTAATAAGGAAAAAGTTTGTGGGGGAAAATAGCTTTATTCTCAAGGTCTTAGTCTTTTATAATTTAAAATTACTGAAGTTTCTCTAAACGAAACAAAAATATTCTTTTATATCAATAAAAAAGATGTAAGGAGATGAACTCAGCTGTACCATATGTTATACGATTTTAGAAGAAAGTATGGAAGTAGAACATGTTTGGATTGAGGATTTAGAATCAGAAAATGTAAACATATTTTCTCTGTTTTATAAAGTTCAACTTCGACTGAACATTGCAACAAGAAAAAAAACTAACGATAAATGGTTCCTTGATGTATTTCGTAACTTGCATACGGCCCTAATAGAGAGAGAAAGTTCAAACGTATGAATTATGTGTTCTCCCTCTATCTATTGAATGTAATTAATTCTAAACATATTTTACATACAAAGTTTTCGTCAAAACCAGACAATACGTAATACAGATGACCTTATCTCATTGTAACATTATTTTTACTTTAGAATAAACGTATATTGCATTAAATTAATTAAGTGACAAAGTCCCGAAAACTATGAATTTGGAGAATACGTAATTTCTATCTTCAAATGAGACATGCTCTTTAAATATTCTTTGTAATACGAAAAACAATAAAATTATTTGCAATTTCAATCTTAGATGACTCATTCTGTATATGCGTGTGTATAAATATATACACACATGCAAACATGTATAGAAAATACGCAAGAACGATATGCGATTTGAGACAAATGATATATACATAGTTGTATCCTACAAAATATGGAAAGAAAAAACACAAAGCTATATATGTATTAGCTATACATATTAATTTGTGGTACAGTGATAAGTCGTAATTCAACTACACGCATACTTTTATGTCTGATGTATGAACATTTTCGATGTATCTGTAATCATATATTTGTACATAACAGGTTCGTTTGTTGCGTCCATTATGTGGTTAGAGACTACTTTGTACATAATATAAATACACAATGAATGAATGAATGAATAAATACATGAATAAATAAATATATAAGTGTACCGCACTTTATAAGTCAATATACATTCCTTTATCATTCGATAGTAATTTCAAATATTTCTACAGAAATTTACCTTTCTTAGAACTTAATATACTTGCATGTACGTAAGTACATGAGTAATGTAAATTTGATCAATAATTTCTATTAAATATAATTGAAAGATATGATTAGTGATATGTTATTGAATTATATTTATCGTAAATAAATTGTAAGTGCTCTCTTGCACTTATATTTATTGTTTTAATTAAATGGAGTAGAATAAACGTGGAAATTTTCAATGTATATAAATTTCCGATTATTGTACTTTAATTTCATATAAAAATAGTAAATAAAAAAAGGGGGATGTTTCAGGATAAAGCAGAATACACGATACGATTGAATCAGATTGACTGGAATCGAGCCAATAGCCACCGTGGCTCGATTAATTGTGATTTAAAAAATGCAGTGATGTTTTATATGCACTCGTCTCATCGTCAATATAAACAATTATTTAACACTGTTAACTGAATTGTTGATCAACGAAATTTATTGTAGACTGTCTCTACAAAATTCCATTATCAAAAAGTATATAAACATAACCTACAATAATGAACAATATGATTGATTGACAACTTTAAAAATTGTCTGTAACCGAAGAAAAAATAAGTAAATGTCGTTTAATGTCATATAAATAATTATTATATTTTAAGGATAGAAGTAATCGTAGAATATAATGTTAAAAATGAATCTGTGGTTATCACTGCAGTTGTCATTCCTTTTGATAGTGTTTGAAGTTTAGCAAAAGATTAATTGCTTTCTTTTTAAATAGGTTCTAAAATGAAGTATTCTACGTCGCCACGGGTAAGTAGGCGTAACTCTCCTGGTCCATCTGAATTAAGTTCAAGTTTACCAATGCCAGTAACTTACAGGTAAGAAGAAAAGAATTAAGAAATTTTAGATTAAAGAGAATTAAACATTTCTTTGTGCAATTATTACAATTAGTTCAAACAAAATAAATGTGTTTTAGGCAAGACTGCATGGGGGCTGCAACAAAGTGTTACAAATACTTGAGGAAATTATTAAAATTTGAACAAATGGATTTTGAATTTGCCTTATGGCAGATGATTTTTTTATTCATATCTCCACAGAAAGTATACAGAAATTTTCAAAGTAGAAAACGTACGTTATTCAATCTGTAGTCAATATAATTATTAAATTATTAACATAGAATCAGCAGTTAATGTTTTATTTTTAGAAACAAAATCCCAGTTTGCAAGAGACGATCCTGCATTCTTGGTACTACTAATGTGTTGTCTGTGTATATCTTCTATTGGTTTTACTATAGTTCTGGGATTAGGATTTTTCCAATTCGTAAAACTACTATTTTATATGATATTTATTGATTACCTTGCAGCTGGTCTGATAGTAGCTACAATATTTTGGTAAAATTTAAGAGGCATTACTATAATCAAAAACATCATTATAATAAATATTGTAAAGCGTCATCTGTAAATTCACATTGCATATGTTGAACATAATAGTAAAATAATAACTTGTCTTATTTGCAGGTTTATAACTAATCGTTATTTAAGATTTGATAAAACTCAAAATGTAGAATGGGGTTATGCATTTGATATTCATTTAAATGCTTTCTTCCCACCTTTAATCATACTTCATATTGTTCAACTTTTTTTTTATGGTGAGGTTAATTACATTACCTTTTTTAAAGATTTCTTGTTATTACGAATGTAGTACTATTACTAATTTTGAAAAATAATTATCTTCTAGGTCTCATAAATTACGATACATTTTCATCACGATTTGTTGGTAATACGATATGGTTAATAGCTGTTGGTTATTATATTAACATTACATTTTTGGGCTACACAAGTGAGTACATGTCTTTAATAGTGATTGTACAAATTGTAGAATGATCTTATAACCACTTGTTTGTTTTAGGTATTGAAATACTTCATAAGACACATGTAATATTATCAGCATTACCAATAATATTACTAATATATATTATGACATTATGCGCAGGTATTAATATTAGTCATTTAGTTATGGAGTTCTATCATTATCGAGTTGTCTAAATAAAGTTTATTTTACCACAAAAATTTACCTTAAATTATTGAACGGGTTCTAACCTACATTTTCATGTATATTTTGATACATTAAAATGTAGTCAATAATTGTTATTGCTGTATATATAACATTAAATATATATGTACTAGTATATTATTTTACCAAAAATTTAAAGGACTTCATTAAAGAGCATAATTTATAGGAAAAGTACACATTCTTGTAAAAAAGTTTTTATTGAGTATACATTTTCTAATAACAAAATTTTATCAATAAAAGATTTATAACTACATATTATTAGAATGACTTAAATCTATCATTTAAAACATTTTTTTGTAGAAACACAACGCTTTTTTTAAATTAGTTATAAATGATATTATTATTCCCCTGACTTATGTACTTTCTGAGTATAAAATAATAACTTATACTATCATATATCAATTATTTGTACGGACGTTATACATAAGACTGTCTTTTCCAATTTGCTCTTAATCCTTTGGTTGTTCATGGATGGTCAATAAATATAATAATAAGTAAAACAACAAATATAATCAATGTCTAAACCTTAGCACCACAAGGATTAAGAGTTGTGAGAGTTATAAAATCATAAAAATTTCTATTTAATATACTAATATTACCGATCGTTATAAGAGTTTAGGCTGTTGCTTTAAAGTTGAAATATCTAGTATCTTACTGGGACAAGTCGTTCTAGGTGTTTGACTAAAAGGATACCGCTGTACTACAGGACTATTTTTTGGATTAGCGAATTTTAAATCAACCTTCGGAGGTGCTTCAACGTGTACTTTGCTAATATCTGTAAAACCAAAGAAGTAGTTCCTACATTCTTCAAGACATTTTTCAAATATCTGTTTAAAATTATTTTACCTTCTGTTGGAATATTATTCTTTCCTGGAAGTAATTGATATCTTTCTAGATAACGCATTGTAGCAAAAGACATGTTCGTGCCTTGTACATTGCTAACCATGAGATGTTTTACAGATGTTGCACCTTGTCTTTGTACTGCTAATTCAGCAAGCTGTTCATCGGATAGATATTTTAAAGCCAATGCTTTCATATGCATACTTGTGTTTGTTTCATTTACAGCACTCGTTTGTGTCATGTTTGCTTGATAATCCAAACGTGGGTAGAATGATAAATCAAATGCCATCCTTCCAAACAAATTACCAAACTCATTTATTAACTATTATATAAACTCGATTATTGAAAGTAATGTTAACTAAACTAGCATAGCCTCTAGAGTTAACAGTACTCAGATAATCGAGGTAGCCTCATGTAATAATAATATAAAAATATAAATGGAAAACATACTTGTTACTATTGTTTAATTCTTTGTGTTCGGGATTTTCACTTAAACTAATTCCAAGTTTTTTAAGTTGTTCTAATGTAGCAACTTTTACAGTATCTAATGCTCTATTTTCGCTCTCGTCTTTTTCATTTTGATTTTCTTTTTTTTTATCTTGTTGCTGATCGTCTATAACACAAGAATTTTGTAATAGGTGATTTACTTGTCCAAGAACATTATTATAAAAAGTCCAGCCCACTTTGGAACTGCGTTTAACTTTTTCGCTATCGTCATCGCTGGAATACTCCTGCATTTCGATATGAATACTAGGTTCAGGAGTAGGGGGTGGTCTTTCATTTATTCTTAAATCACCACCATTTAAAATCATACTGTATTCAACGCAACTGCTTGGTTTAGCATTATTAACTTGCCCTTCTTTTCGACAATCCTTATAATAATTGGTTGAACTCTCTACAGAATTACTTGTTTTCAAAGTTTCGTTATTTCTTAGTAGATTTAACTTTGTATATTGATCTGTATTGGTAGGAATATTTGCTTTTCCAGGAATACAATTGCTACTTCGAGGTACATTGTAGTCTGCAGCATTTTGTTGTATTGTTTTTGCATTTTCATAATTCTTTGCTTCTTCTGTATTAATCCTTTCTAAATGCTTTTGCGCAATTTCAGGTTGATTTGATTTTGTAATTGTAGCTTTGCATAATTTTGGAGATTCAGATCTATGAATATCTGTTCCCTTCCTAATGTCTGTATATGGTTGTTTTTCTAAATCTTTTATAGAAACACTTGCATTTAAATTACTACTTTGTTGTTGACTAGATGACATATAACTCTCAGAGTCCTCAACTATATTTTCCAATTGTGCACTAGGTATTCGAGTAAAAGAATTTTTATACCTTCTCAAAGATTCATTGGTGTCATGCAAGCCAACATTATTGCACATTTTTAAATTTCCTTTATCTTGTTGGCAATCTTTTCTTTCATCTACATCTACTGTAAAAGGACTATTTTGAACAGTAAACTCAAAGCTTGTCATTACTCCAATAGAAACTTTTTGTTCCATGAAGGTCTTCCTTGACTGTGCTTCCGCTAATATCAATTCGGTCTGATTTAGATTTCCATGTTCATTAGAATTTTCTTTTTCTTTATCCTTAGAGGGTTCACATTGATATGCATGTCTTTTTATGTTTTGTGGTGTTCTAACATAATTAGAAGCACCTGTAGTATTATCATTACAAGTGGTATATACTTGATCCTTCTGTTGTATTTGAGATGAACAAAAACAATTTTTTCTATCTTGAAGATTTGCTTCTTGCATTTTTAATAACCTATCTACCTGTATCTGCAAAGATTTAATTTGCTCATTTTGACTGTTTATAATTTGTAATAAATTCTTGATTGTCTCTTGACTATCTCCATTTTGAGTAGGATAAGAATGAAGTTGTGGAAAAGGATATGCATTCGTATTAAAGTAAGGATACTGTTGACCTAAGTAATGTGGCAACTGAATTTCATTTCTATTCAAAGCATTTGAATTAATAGATGGATGTACAATTGGTTCATCAACTGAATTATTAAATGGTACTTTTTGCTGTTCACAATTATGAACTGTTAATTTTCTTTCATGCATTAATGGAGAATATTCTTTTTGATTAAAAGTATAATTATCAATGTTAGTGCAAGGTTTTACAGCATGTGACATGTTCTGTTTCTTTTCAACATGTCCAGCATTGTCATTGCACATTTGGTAACTATGTTTGCAAGAACTATCATTATTTCCTCTATATGTTTGTTGTTCTTTATACTTTGGACTATTATAATAATCTTTCCTGGGATTATAATCTCTTCCTTTAGATTCTCTCGAAATATTTTGTGGAAGGTAAGGTTCTGCAATATAATTTTGATTGTAATGTACTTTCTGAGGTGCTGCACATTCATTAACTTTTGAAACAGAGGATCTACGCAAGTAATTTTGTTCTTTCCATGCAGAATAGGATCCATTAGTATTTAATGGAGATGAAACATTGTTTTTTTGTATTGAACCTTTAGGTTCTACAGTTGGCGAATGAAAACCTTTGTAATCTGTGGTTCTGCGATTTAAACATTCATCAAACACTAAAGAAACTTCAGGAACTGATGGTACTGTAAAGCACTAAAATTATAAATATTAAAACGTATATTTTTTATAATGTCATTACTCTTCTTACAAAGCATATTTTAATATTTTTACTTTTATTTAAGTAGTACTGTAAAAGTAGTTCTGTATTTGAAATTATTCGAAAATTTATATTTTATATTTTATTTAAAAGACAACTTACGTCCAGTTTAGAAGCAGGTTTCGGCGTAATTCGTGGTTCAAATTCATCTTCATCGTTATACATGTTTTAAGCTAAATTAACAACTTTCAAGAGCGGAGTTACTTCATTCATTCGACAATAATAGACTTTTATCATACTTATACTTTTGCTCCACTGGAAACTAATATCAAACAAATTTGTATAGTTGACATATCATTCGAAATAAAAGTGTAGCCAACATAACGCAACAAATTGATAGTAAACAAATATTAGGTGTTTTTCTATACTTCGTCCAAGAACCTTGAGTAAAACACCAAGTGACTGTAATAGATTTTATTGGTCAACTTGTGAATGTCCAGTCAGGAGATATTCTAAATATATTTTTATAAGTTCTCCCTTATTGACTATTTTTCAATCAAATTGTAATTATTACACATAAATAGCAAGTTGTATAACTTCTAATTTATTAGAACTTATTTAAAGTACAGCATCCCGCCATTTTAGTTTGTTATCAGTCACGTGGGTTTTATTTACGAAAGATTATCTTTTCGTTGGTTAAAATGAAAATAGCTGTTTTTAATTTGCAATAAATCGAAAGTATGCAATTGTATTTCACAAGTATTTCAGAATAAAATGATAACTGAACAACGAATACAATACATATTACTACTAGATTTGATGATTTCGAAGTTTTTTCATTTACATCTATTCTACCATATTCTATCGTTGTTTACTGCATTCCTTAGAAAATGCGTTTCTATAGAGTCGTATTATATAAGATATGCATATACTTCTATTTACATATTACAAATATGACTTGTAGTGTGCATATGTTTGTATATATGTACTTATACATGGTTTTCTTCATTCTTCATTGATTACTTCATTCCATGCATAGAAATTTGTTACTAACAAATACAAATATATCGAAACAAAGTGCATTAAATCATTGATTTTAAATTCATTCTGAATATAAATGAAGGTCAGCCGGATTTGTTATCGTTTTTTGAGAAAGGTATTTTCCTCTTTCAATACTCCCTCTCGTGTCTGTTTTACCAGGTGAGGGATTAATTGGATATGCATGTAAATGTAGACTGATATATTGCACAGTGCACCACATTGGCGGATAACTGAAATTTGACTACATATTAGGCAAGGTATTAGTAAGCCCTTAATGCTCTGTATCTAATTATTATTGCTAATTTAGGAAAAGTCAAGCTTAACGTATATTATATAGAATGTATATGTCGAGTTCAATAGTATTTGTTGGCGTGGTATTTTAAATCTATGTCAGAGTTGTTTGACCTGCGATATCTTAGAATTCAGATATCGTCGATCCTTAATTCTATATTCGATCTACCTGTAGTTAAGTGGAATTTTATTTGTCACAGATAATTTTCATACTGGTCAATGTCAAATTACACAACAGTTATTACAGACATATGTCTTACAATATAATTTGCATTATAACCAATTAGTTTCTCGCAAAATAAAATGGTTAATATTTAAATTCATAACACAAAAGTATGTGAAAATTTATGAAATATCCATGTATATTATAGATGGACAGATTTCTTCCCAGTTGTGTTCAGATATTTCATGCAATATTTTCTTCAATTCGTTAAAGCTTGATTAACGAATATTTTACTATTTAATGCTTAGTTTTTATTAGCAATAATTAGTATTGAATGAAGACTTTGTAAATATGTCTATTAATGTCAATACTTCATGTTTTTTTTAGGTTATGGTGATCATGATATTATACTGTTCTGTGTCTTAAAGAGAACTATTAGTATTTCCAAATTATGGTCCACTGAGACTGAGTGCTCGAAATGGCTACCTAATTCCCATTTTCAAATTATTATTAATTAACTAAAGTATTCTACAAGAGAGGAAAAGGAAGACTTTATAATGTTTGTAATATATAGGAAGTGTATGATATTGATAAAATAGAGCTTGCCTCTAAAAGAAGCTTAGCTATTTGCAAGGTTTGTATTCGCTCACAATTAGTAAAAATAAAGTTAGCAAGGGTAGAAATTAATTGATTGTAATTTCTGTATTTAATTTTAGATACAGCTTTTCTTTTGTTATGGTGGCTATGCAATTGTTTATTTTTTGGAATTTAATTAATAGATATTGAAACAAGCATCCCTTTTCCATGAAAGTATTACCAATGTGGTGCTTATAAAAATACATAATAAAGGATGGCAATATTTCTATACTTTTATCCTTAACATTTTATGGTTATTATAATGGTAAATACATGTAGCTTGGTTACATATTTATGATATATAATAAGATTGGTATGATTGATCTAGAACAAAATTTGAATGGTGATTGGAGCTAATGAGTACTACTAATCTTTGTAATATTATGTTTAGGACGTATCATGACATCATTCTTCAGGGATTGTAAATAATAACAGTACATATATCGGATGCAACATATAAAGTAGAAAGATGGATAGTTCCGAGTATGAGACTGTACGAAATATGACACTTTTATTCTTTTTCGAACTCCTTGTGGAAAAAGGTGGGCCACGCACGTTGCATGATTTAAGCTGCCAGTTCGGAGCTAAAGGATTTACTAAAGAAATGCGCCAAATAGCTGGCGGATCTCAAAGTGGTCTTAAAAAGTTTTTAGCTCAATATCCTATGCTTTTTCTTATCGACGGCGATTATGTGTCTGTAAATACGTTTCAACAAGTTGTAGAAGAAGAGAATGGATGTAAATTAGGTGGCAAACGTGATTATGCGCGAGAGGCTGTAGAATATTTTACAAATAAGTTGCTGCAATATGGAGTTGGCACAGAGGTACCAATTAAAAGCCTTTTGGGACATCGGTCTCAGGCCTCTCCCGAAGTTAGGCATATTTCTGGCCAACATTACAAAGAATTTAGGGATTTTCTCTTAAAGTATCCTGATGCTTTTGTAGTTACCGAAGATGATGTAATATTAAAGCAATATGAAGGCATGAAACCAGAACCTATGTTAAAATTAGAACCAGATATACCTATGGATCCAGATGTTACTGCAAAATTATTAGATTTCCTTTGTGATCGCATAGAACATAAGGGTCCAATTCTTGTGGATCAAATGTTCAACATAGTCAACGATAAATTTTTTTATGAAAATTGGACTTCCATATTTAAGACACCCCAGGATTTATGTACATTTGTAAAAATGTTCCCAGACGCATTTCATGTTCAAAGCAATTTGGTAACATTAATTGGAAGACCTAAATCTTTTACAATAGAGGCAAAGACAAAAGCAAAACTTGCAAATTCTATACGAAGCCAAAATAGTACCGCGAGTCAAACCACTACAAATCCACCTGTTCAGTTGAACAGATGCGAATCAAGCAATACTCAAACATTGCAGCAACCAATTAATTCAGAATCTATTAGTACTAATGTAATTAATCAAGTTGATCCTGTACAGAGTCCTTATCCTCAAGGGAATGAAAGTAATAATAACTCTCCTCCGGTAAGCTTACAGCAACAAACTTTAAAACAGAGAATAAATACACTTGTGATGAAGACTTTGGCAGATAATACAGAGAAAGATCGCAGTTTGCACAATGTCCAAATGGGGGATGCATGGAAATTAAAAGTATTACAACAAGCTAGAGTAATTGTAAATCCAAGGGAAAGTCTTCAAATTATCGAAGATATAATAAATCCTCGTAAGCTTCCCGCTGACGGCAAAATTGTTGTTTCGCTTGACTGTGAAGGTATAAACTTAGGAGTTAAAGGAAAAGTAACACTTATACAAATCGGTACTATGTTTGGACAAGCATATGTATTTGACCTGTTTACGTGTCCTACTCTTGTACAAGCTGGGGGACTTCAAAAACTTCTAGAGCACGAAAATGTTATTAAAGTAAGAAATAATAATGTTGAGCATTTTTCCGTGATTATTTCCATGACTTAACGTTTAAAATTTGTTTTAACTACTATATACATATATATATATATATATATATTATTTCAGGTAATTCATGATTGTAGAAACGACAGTGTCAATTTGTATACACAGTTCAAAATTTTGTTAAACAATGTTTTCGATACGCAGGTATTTGATTTGTAATTATTAAGTATTTTTCAAATATATTTTGAACTACAAAATAATGAAAATATTCACTATTTGAGGAACAAATTATGTTTATATTTGTAGGCAGCTCATGCCGTGCTTCAGTTCCAAGAAACAGGTAAACCTGTATATAAAGTTAAGAATGTTAATTTGAATACACTATGTGATCAATATGGTGCTCCATGTAATCCATTAAAGGAACAGTTAAAAAATATTTATCGTAATAATCAAAAGTACTGGTGTCGGCGTCCACTATCACGAGACATGCTTATTTATGCTTGCAGCGATGTTTTAAGTCTCGTTCCACATATATATGTTGCTATGGCTAAGTATGATTTACTTGTATATTACGTTTCGTTAAATGATAATCACTTTCAATCACTTATTCGCATTTAAATAAGGAAACATTGAAATATTCTTTGTTAACCGTTATTATTTCTTTTTAATGTTAGACTTATAAAACCAGAAATGCAAGCTCTGTTTGCTGAGCTCTGTGAAGAGCAAATTCAAATGCACATTCAGCCTACAAACGTAAAAACACGTAAGAAGCAACGAAAGGTGGAAACGGAGGTCGCAGACTTGAAAAAGAGAATGGAAGAAACAACTGCCAAAAACATTGTACTAAGTAATCGCGAAATACGTCTTTTACGTTACTTAGATCTTACCGAAGATGAAAAGGAAAAACTGAAAGGTAGTTACAAAGTTGCAAGGAAATTGGAGAAACTTGAGAATATGGGCCAAGATAAAGGAGATAGCAGCGACGACGACGACGACGATAAAGTTGATGATACCGAGTATCATAGTATGGAAAGTTATACCTCTGAAAATTCACATTCTGGTATATTGTTCTGCAACTAATAATCACTTAATACGATTTACATCAGTGTTTCTCAAACTGGAGTTCAAAATATTTCGATGTTTCCATTTGTAGGTGGTATACTTTCACCAAGAAATTCTGATACTCCTAGCCTTACAGAATCAATGCAGATGGTTGACGAAATACTTTCTGATGAACGAATGGACCGATTTGAAAAAATCGAAAAATTGGAAGCAGTACTTTCAGCTGTTACTGGTTCTGCAGCCATCGATCAGTTTTCTTCGAGTAGTGTAGACGCTTCTCCAACGAAGTGTGCGTGTTCGTATCGAGATAGAAACAAGAGTCCACGAACAGATGATAACATTGGAAGTAGCGTGGGTTGCCAAACGTATAGTACAGGTGATATAGTAATTACCAAAATATATCTCACAGAGGAAGACCAAGAACGTATAAAAATGAATACATCAAACAAATAGATGTCATATGTGGAAGTGCCTGCTGTGCAAGTGGTAGAAACAATGTTGCCATTACTACAATTTTAATGAAAAAACGAGTGGACGACGAAAAATGAAAGAAGTAGTTAAAAATTAATCTATTTTACCTAATTTGACAAAATTGTAATATTCAGTTACATCAATCAATTAAAATTGAACCCTAGATACATATATTTTTCCAAATCTGATGCTATAGTAATCAGAATTTAGGAAGAATTTGCTTCTTATAAAAAAAATGCAGTATTGTAAAATGTTTACTTTTTAATAGATTACCTTTCTTTGCAGGAGTATAAGAAAGAATTAATCAAATTATATAGTAATACGCAGTTACAAAACAATATTTCTTTATTAACAAGAATATTTAATGAATTAAAAAACACTAATGTTGTTTTTCTGTATGTAGAATATTTTTCTAATTTTTAATGTAATTCGTATCAAGAGGAAACGATAGAATTGCGTTATACGCAAAAAATGTTTTGTTTTTGCATAAAGTGCTGCATTAAAATCACTGTTCTATATCATATACACTTTCGTAAATGTATACAAAACACTTTCTGTTTCATTAAAAAATATTTTTGATAAAGTTCATCGTAAATAAGTACAATAAGTGCAAATACGTATAATGGAATTTTACACGTTTAATATACCTAATTTTCTTATAGTCATATTTGTGCCAAGCTCTAACACGATATATCATGTGCAATTACTAAAATAGTAAGAAAATTTTGCATATTTATTATTCGTTTTGACAATAAATAATGTTTGCAAACTACTCGTTATTAGAGAAATCCATTTTAAAAGTGACTATACATATATGTATGTATTACAAGTGTACGTATTTTACAAAAATTTATTGCTAAATAAGCACAGGTAAATGTAATTATATTAAAATACAGCTGTTTTTAATGCAATACTTTCCAAGACATGATGTAATGCATCTGTTTAAATATCATATTTTCCCTTCTACCAGGTGAAAAAATATCTGGAAATCGTTATTTGTAAAAATGTTTGTTCAAGGAAGTTGTAGAATACACATCAATGAAATTTTTATCTTCGAAATAGTAGGATGGTAATTATTTTAATAATCCGTTTACATTGTTTTCTTTTTTTATAAATAGTTCTTTATAACTAGAAAATTACATACATTTCTAAATACAGCCCCATGACTGCAGTATATCTTAAACTGTATTGTTATTGCAAAATAATTGTAAACGATGCATTTGCATGTTTGTTCTTTTTAAGATCAATAAGCTTGTTGATATTATCCAATATTTATTATCACACATACTGGTATATTTTCTAATAATTTCTTTTTAAAGATAACGCTGGTCAATACAATATTAACAGTATAAACTAGAGTCAAGTGCCTTATTTGTACTAATGCATTTAAGTCGTTTTAATTTAATGCATGATTAATTTAAAAAAAAGTGACAAAACTATTTTACCATCAATAGTAGAGAATGTTGTTAAGAGTAATTAATTTATTGCATTAAAAAACATCGAAAGACGTGCATAATAAATATTTTGTGAAACTAGTTAGTTTCATTACATAAGGTTTACACATCAATTTTGCCAACAAATATTCCTGTATCCTGTCCTTTACATCCTTAAAAAAAGGGTTGACAGGCTTTAATCATTCATAATAATGATAGATAATAATTCATAAATGGAAATTATTTCAGTAGCGAGTTCTAGAAGAGTTGTGCTAATCCATATAATGGAACGACAATTTTGTAAAAATTAGTTAGAATTAATGCGCATTTTTAAAATAAATTTATACTTAAAAAATTGTGAAACATTTTTAAGTGTATATAGCGAATTCTGTTCCGTGTTTCATTAAATTATATCGTTACGAATAACTTAAATTTTTCCATAACGAAATATCTTCTCCAACAAACAATTATTATTTCAACATGCAATTATTTGTCTCAAGGTTGAAAACCAATGCTTTCAAATGTAGTTATTCAAAGTGTTTGCGTTTGAACATGATTTGAATTGAAGTTAGTAGTTTGTGAGTTCGATTTCACAAAACATCTGTAATATAGTATTGTGCAATTTATCGTGAAACCTCTTGTATCGTTTGAACGTGATAACATTTGATCCTCGAGACCCCCGCAAGTTACGAGATATTTTGAATTTTATGCGCATCCGTAAACAATTATGATTACGTGCTTGTGGTAGTGTGCGAACTATAATTGGAATGGAGTTTCAATATGTAGATTGCTTCATGGTTAACCACTTGTTGAATCTCCTTCATAGCGGCTTGTAATAGTTGGTAGCAGTTAGTAGTCGAGCGCGCGAATTGTAGCTTTGGTTAGTTAGGCACATTTCGTAGACACGTTTAGATTTCTAAAATTGTATAATCTTTTGGAAAGATAATTCTAGAAGCATAATGTCTGCAGGAAATTTAGGTAAGTTTATAGACACAAGATAAATTTATGTACAGTATAATATTTTATAATTTTTAATATCATTACTACAACATTTACACTTATTACTTAATATTATAAAGTTACCTTATTTATTATATTTTCAGCCCTTTTAAGCGTTTCTGATAAAACAAACCTTTTGCCATTTGCTAAAAGATTACATGAGTTAGGTTTAATCTTAGTTGCATCTGGTGGAACTGCAAAATCCTTGAGAGATGCTGGCCTTCCTGTGAAAGATGTTTCCAGTATTACCGGTGCACCTGAGATGCTTAATGGAAGAGTAAAGACTCTTCATCCTGCTGTGCATGCTGGTAAACATTACATGTATTTAGCAGTAACAATTACCTTAGATTTATATGTATTTTTGGCTTTTGTTTGTGTTACAAATACATTTTGTATATCACAGGTATATTAGCTAGGCTCACAGAGTCTGATCAAGAAGATCTTCGCAAACAAAATTATGACATTATTAGACTTGTAGTGTGCAATTTATATCCATTTGTAAATACAGTTTCAAAACCAAATGTTACTATTGAAGATGCAGTAGAAAACATTGATATTGGTGGAGTAACTTTGTTAAGAGCTGCGGCTAAAAATCACGGTAGAGTGACTGTTGTCTGTGATCCTAGCGATTATGATAAAGTTGGGAAGGAGATGGAAATGTCTGTTAGCAAAGATACCTCTCTGGAAACTAGGTATATTGTATATTGAAATCATATTTGAAAAACGAATGCTCTATCAATTTGTTTTAATATTTTTTTTATTTTTAGACAAGTATTAGCACTTAAAGCATTTACTCATACAGCAGAGTATGATAATGCTATCTCAGATTATTTTCGTAAACAGTATAGCGCTGGTGTTTCTCAGCTGACATTACGATATGGAATGAATCCACACCAAAAGCCAGCTCAAATTTTTACTACTTTGGATAAGTTACCACTAAGTGTAGTAAATGGTTCTCCAGGTTTTATTAATCTCTGTGATGCATTGAATGGTTATCAGTTGGTGAAGGAATTAAAAACAGCTCTGAATTTGCCAGCTGCAACATCTTTTAAACATGTTAGTCCAGCTGGTGCAGCAGTTGGTGTGCCATTAAATACTGTACAAGCAAAACTATGTCAAGTAGATGACTTGCTGGATCAACTGACACCATTAGCCAGTGCTTATGCTCGTGCAAGAGGAGCAGATAGAATGTCAAGTTTTGGAGATTTTATAGCATTATCTGATCCATGTGATGCAATTACTGCTAAGATCATATCTAGGTAATAGATTACAGACTATAGATATAAACTCTTTTAGGTCACATATTTATTATATCAATCAGACTATATTCAAAATTTTAGAGAAGTATCTGATGGCATTATTGCACCGGGTTATTCAGAGAGTGCCCTTCAAATTTTGAAGAAAAAAAAGAATGGTGCATATTGTATTCTTCAAATTGATCCCACTTATGTACCGTCTCCGATGGAGCGCAAAGTTTTATTTGGTTTAACTATGGAACAGAAGCGTAATGATGCGGTGATTAATAAGGATACATTCGCCAATATAGTAACTAAAAATTCGATGGCTGTTTCCGACTCCGCTATGAGGGACTTAATCGTAGCTACCATCGCAGTAAAATACACGCAAAGTAATTCAGTATGTTATGCAAAGGATGGACAAGTGATTGGAATTGGTGCAGGGCAACAATCGAGAATTCATTGCACAAGACTCGCTGGCGATAAAGCCGATAATTGGTACGATATTTATAAATGAGTAATGTGCTTCACTTTTGAAATGTAATATCATGGGTATCGTTGAACACTTTTTAAGGTGGCTTCGCCAGCATCCTAAAGTTACCGGTATGAAGTTTAAAAAGGGTATAAAGAGAGCAGAAATTTCAAATGCTATCGACAATTATGTAAATGGAACTGTAGGAAAAGATATGGATGAATCTGCTTGGGCTGCTATGTACGAAGAAGTTCCACAGAAGCTCTCAGAAACAGATAGATTGGAATGGATCAAAAAGGCAGACAATGTAGCTTTGAGCAGTGATGCTTTCTTCCCATTCAGAGATAATGTGGATAGAGCTAGACTGGTATGTTGTTATTTTTTTACATTGCTCTACTTATTTTTATAAGATATTTTGTAAGAATGTTCTTTAATTACAGAGCGGCGTTAAATATATTGCTAGTCCTTCTGGTTCTACAAACGACGAGGCAGTGATCCAAGCCTGTGATGAACATAAAGTTGTGTTAGTTCACACTAACCTGAGATTGTTCCACCACTAAATAAAAAAAAATTATGATTTAACAAATACCATTAGTTGGATCATTGGTTTATCATCTTGAAATTACATTGCCATACATTGTATTGCGAAAACTGTTTTGCCAATACGTAGTTGATAAGCATATTTGGAATATCAAAATTTCATCATTAAATTTTACGAAGTTATCACACTTATAAGATACATTGTAAAACAGAAAACATATTTTTACATGAATTATTAAGTTTCTTTATGAAAAATATATATGTATACGTAAAATTGTTTATTAACTCATTTGTGTTAATTATTAACCCTTTAGTTAATACTGGTACTGGTCTTAGTATTAGTGGCGCCATCGGTAGCAAAACGAACATGTACAGTATATTGTAGTGGTATAAAGCAGGGCGGCTTACTGAGCGTATATGTACTTGACGCGAATCGTGTTTAGTTTGTTTTTCATTGATAGAAAGACGAGTAGTATCACAGTAATAGTAAACAAAAGCGAATAAACTACAAAAATGAGTAATTCAACTATTTCCGATCAATCCCTCATGGACAAGTCCATGCGAAGTGTTTTCGGTAAGAAATATTATCGATTAATTATTTTTTTAATAATAAGGATGTCGGATAACCTTCAAATGCATTTAATCTATTTTAACAGTCGGGAATATCCCGTACGAAGCCACAGAAGAGAATTTAAAGGATATTTTCAGTGAAGTTGGACCAGTACTTTCTTTCAAGTTAGTTCATTATTGAATCTATATGAATCTATTTAATTGAAGGTTCTAGTCATTTAATATTTTAGTTGATTAAACTAATAATCATTTTACATAGATTAGTGTTTGACCGAGAAACGGGTAAACCCAAGGGCTATGGCTTCTGTGAATACAAAGATCAAGAGACAGCACTCAGTGCTATGAGAAATTTGAATGGTTATGAAATTGGCGGAAGAACTTTACGTGTCGACAATGCTTGCACAGAAAAAAGCCGGATGGAAATGCAAAGCCTTTTGCAAGGACAGAATACTGAAAATCCATATGGAGAAGCAGTACAAGCTGATAAAGCACCAGAAGCTATAAGTAAGGCTGTTGCATCTCTGCCTCCTGAGCAAATGTTCGAACTAATGAAACAAATGAAACTCTGTGTACAAAATAATCCTAATGAAGCACGCCAAATGTTGCTCCAAAATCCACAACTGGCTTATGCCTTGCTGCAAGCACAGGTAGTGATGAGAATAGTCGATCCACATACAGCAGTTAATATGTTACATAAAGCAAATCCAATTCCAAATGTGTTAGCACCTTCCGATAAACCAGCAGTGCATCCTATTGTACCGCGAATCGAGGAACCATGGGCTGTAGCACGACCTGCACCGATTGTAAATCCTCCAGCACCAATCTTTGCTGGTAAGATTAACCGAATATTTTGGAACAATAAATGAACTTGACAAAAATTATAAACTGAGAGCTTTTAAGTAGTATAATTTGATAACAGGACAAGATGTCGATCTACGCGCATTAGATAGACAAATGGATCCACGTTTAGCTAGAATGGATCAAGATCTACGAGGACCACCACAAGTACCACCGCCAACACCTGTTAGTGCGCCTCCACCCGTATCCGCTACCGCCGATTCCAGAGGATTAAGCACGTTCAATAGTATTGCAGATAAGTTAGTATTACTTTCACATTATACACAATTTTTGAATTAATATTGTAATTAAAATTCACACCGTTTTTTATAGCGCTCTTCCTGTTGAAGGAGTTGAGAGGTTCCATAATCACTTTAGATAATTTAACGAGCAGTTACATTTAAGATTACTTTAAAAATATGTCTTTTACAGCTTTTGCCGCGATCCAAGAACAGATAGATTTGGCAGAGATCCGAGAGATCCTAGAGATCCAAGGATGCCTATCGATCCGAGAATTACGAAAGCCAATCGTAAGATTTTTAAGTCTTTAGTTATTACATTTATAAACTATGTTATTTTTCTATATCTACAGTGTCTGATGTTAATTTTTTAGCACCAACGCCAATCGCAGCAACGGTGGTACCAAGACCTGTGGCTGCACCTATTGTTGCTCCACCTACAAATGTTGTTGCTGCCAATGTAACAGCTCCTGTAACCACACTCCCAGCATCCACAACATCTGCAACTTCGAGACTGATGGCAGGCATGTCATCAGCCGGAAATATACCTAGTGGGGCATCGGATCAGGAAAAAGTAATGTATCAAATGAATTTATATAAAAATATATAAAAATATTACATAATTATATGAGTACAATATATGATAAATAATGGAAATAAACACTAATGTTGTTACAGGCTGCATTGATAATGCAAGTATTGCAATTATCGGATGAACAAATTGCTATGTTACCACCTGAACAAAGGCAGAGTATTTTGGTACTGAAAGAACAAATCGCAAAAAGTACGCAACGTTAATTTGTAATTGTATGTTTTAAATTTTCACACATTTGTAAAAATGATGTAATCGTAACATGTACCCTTGATCTGGTATGAGTCAATAAATGTTTAAAAACAATAACTTTTTTGTGCAAGTGATAAATAAACCAAACAATGATATTACAATAATAAACATAAAAAAACCTAAATCATTATTTGGAGCTCCGTACATTAACGGCATGAAAAAATAAATGTTTATTAGTTAATCTATAAACAACGCAGTTCGTTAATACTTTTTCAATTTAATTTGAAATAAACCATCTTCGATAAGTGTATGGTACAGAAGTTTTTCACAATTCTTGTCTTCATAAAGTTCAACACATACGATATCATCGTAGACTTCCTACAACACCCAATTTTAATAGTTAAAATTGATGAAATAATTACTGCAATAAGATGTAGTACAATGTACTTACCTTAACTGTAGCTATGACATGTTTACTGTACATCTGTTCTATTTGGGATATAAGAATACTGTAATTTGCCGATGCAACGATTTCTATGTTCCATAATGTACATTTAATCGCCATTGCTGGTAAATCTGCCCATTCCTCTTTTAAGATGTACAACTCACATCTTTTATGTGAAGGAAAGAAAAAGTGTATAATAAAAACAATGTTATTTTATTAAGAGCAATATCAGAGTAATATCCCCAGTATCATAGACTCTTTTGGAAAAATATATAAAAACAATACTTACTTTTCAGAATTTATTGTTCTGTATTCATCATTGCCATAATCGATATATAGCAATTTAATTTCAATATTTTTTGTATTTTCAATATGTTCAGTTTCTACCACCAAACATCTATACCAGATGCCGTCATTGAATTCCGCACAACATGGTGTATCTACAGATATAGAGATAGTTTTACAGTGCATGTACATTTTTAGGAGAATAGAAGTTTAATGAATTTGTTAACAAGTAATACTCACTGGGAACAATGCTTGTGATCATCGGTTGTTTGTATGCATTTTCTTGTAAATCACTCATGAGATTCTCATATTGTTTATAATAATTATTTAAAATCTAAAAAAAACATTAAAGATAAGTATGAATCTCAAAATAAGACGAAGGTTGACGTACCGGTTCATGTTCATTTTCCTTTAATTGTGCAAAGAATGTGATAGCACTAACACTACAAGACAGTTCAACTTCAAAGCATTTTACTTCTTGCAGGACATCGATCAACTTATTATTAACTGTAAGGTTTTCAGTAGATGTGACGTGAGGTGTTGAAGAAATTACATTCTTTGCTTTGCGCCAAGAAAAATTTTCGATATCAGTTGTGGTGCAGCTTTCATTTTCATTTATTGCATCCGTATGTGGGAGTAATACAGAACATCCACTGATAACTGCATCTTCCACTATTTCGTCATCTGAACAAGGCAAATTGAAATCATCTTCTTCTATAACTACGTCTGAGTTATCCGTCGTGGATAAATCTTTCCCGAATATATCGCCATCATCGAAGGGTTCAATATTCATTTCCCATTCATTAATTAGAAATGATATCAAATTGCTTCTTTGTTTGCAGAACTTATTTGGTAATAGTGTTATAGTAATCTGAAAGTAAAAAGATGTAGTGTATTTTATAAAATGCTTTACAGTGTGATGAAACTCTGATTACTTACTACAAGATGTGTGTCTGTTGTTTCTAGGACAGTTACTTCGCACTCCTGGTCGATGAGAAGAGCATGGACTCTATCCAAATCTGCTGTTATCCATTTTCCATTGTTCGTCTTCTAATGGAACAAAATTATTTTAATTTTATATTTTTATTACATTGGAATTATTTTAAATGTTTACCGGTTTTAAGCCATGAATTAGGCATTTTGTACATTGCACAGGCGTATGTTCTAAAATAACTTTCTTCTTTACAGTACCAATCGAACATTCTTCGACGTTACCGTAGTCTACGAATTTAACCTATACATGTAAATTTTGCATTGTTACAAAGTGTTATAGAAAGTATAGTTAAATAGATGATAACATCTTCACCTTGATTAAGTCATTCTCCAACACTTCCACCACTTCTCCTCTATACCATTTCTTATTTCCATGGTACTGTGCGATGCACAAGTTTCCCGCAATCCACACGGTATCGCATACTTCTAGTGTACAATTTCGATATAGTTTCTCCAACTTTGCTTCTATTTTGTCTAATGATTTTTTATCTGGAAAATAGAGAGGTAGTGAATTAGAGTATAATGTTAATAAATTATTAACGTTTATGTACAAATAGTAATTGTGAAAATGTAGAGAAGGGCAATGTCTTATGGTGGAACATACTTTGTTCTATCGAATGTAGGTATAGGAAACCACTGTGATCTAAGTATGTGGGAACGGCAATGAATGTATTCTTCGATATAGGTTCAGGTGGTAACCAAGTCGATACCGTTGGTAACGATGGAATGTTGTCAAGCACTTCCTCTGTATTGTTCTCTTGAATATCCGAATTAGAATTTGAGTCTGAATATCGTAATACTTTTTGCGGTGTTTCTATATTAACACTTGTCTCGCCAAGTTCGTCGTCAATCTTGAACCATTTTACGTCCGATTGAGATATCACTAATCTTTTAGCTTTTTCCTTTAGATGCCGTTTTAACTCGATTGCTAGAATCTTATCCCGTTTCTTTGCATATCTATGAATGTTCAGATACGTTAAAATGAAACAGTGAAATATTAATTATAAGTACCTTGCAAAGTGTTCACCTACTCTTTTATAGGTAAGGCAACCCCTTTATCCACCAGCATTCTATTGACAGAATTAATCTCGATTCTCGTAGGCGTTAACGGTCCATCCAAT